CAATGACTCAGAGCGTGGTAGAAACGGGAGAGTTATTCTACACATAGATAGAAATGTTTAAACATGGTGTGTCAGCTTATTTGACACTGATTGAAGACATTTATTTTGCCTGGTGGTTCTTTCACGAATTAGCATATATGGCTAAAAATCCATATATCTAGAAATTTAAGTTGATATAAGTAATCTCTCTAGACCCAACTTTTGAGAGAAATTTTATGATATAATTTTCTTCCCTATTTTGAATTATCAAACGCCAGAAATGAACCTCATACATTTATTTGCCTCTACGGTTATATCTCTTTGTTTCACGACTTTTATATTGCTTCTCTTTCTCCTATTCAAGCCAAACTGCAGACCGTGTGCAGCGAAAGCCTAGAAACTGGTGAGCTAAGGTATTCTATTAATTCACCCTGCCACCAAATTTTGAAAACAATCATATTTATTGAATTATCTCTTCATTTGAAAGACATCTTAAGCGCTGGAAAAAATATTGCATTTGAACTACCAACCTTCTACAATTAAACCACTATATTTAACATGTTCAAACGCTAATGTATATTCTTAAATATACACTACACAGTTGACTAGTGCCTTTTAGGGTTCTGTAATTATTGGCAAGTACTAATCACCTCTGAGCGACCCAAGAGACAAAATCGTTCCTCAAGAGTTAAATTTGCGACAATTTTTCTGTCTATTGACAGAAATAAATTATTTTTTGGTTTCTGTGAGGTATAAACTGAAATAACTATTCACCTCCACTTAGGTAAATTATTAATTGGTGAATATTATGCCGTTGATTTTTAACTAAAATTGATAATGTATCGTGACGTTGAATTCTATGTCAGATATTGGATTATTAAAAACATCTGCGCGACCACTTTTGGACACAGCCATTATCAGCTTCAACTTAAAACAATCGAGGGTAACTTGCCAGTTATTTTATAAGCTTCTTTTACGTGAGTCCCTGCACGACATTCCAGCAGTATTAGCTGCGGAAAACCTCTAAATAACGAAACAATTCCTTGAGACACACCTTTGGCCCCGCATTCTGAGTAGTTCTGTGCTTAAGTAATTCCGTTGTGGGTAAGAGTTGAACGAAGAAAAGGGTGAAAGTCAAAGGTGAACCAGAATAATAAAATAATATCCTTAAAAGTAATTAGAGACAATGTTTTGGCGGTTTCACGTTTCCTGGATTGTTACTTCTGGAATGTTTTTTTACTTAACCGAGTCATGATTTCTTGTGTTCCCTTTGAAGTCCAAGAAGATGGGACACATCACGTTTATCGAAAAATAATGAGATTTCTCATTTGTTATTTTGCCATTCCTATCCTTAGACCGTTGAATAAAATCCTGTTGATGACTTGTTTGCCGCTATGATGAATATGCATATTCACTTCAGCGCATGTCAACAACGGTGTGTTTACTTGGTTTGGTCTGGAAGTTGGACGCTTGAGGTTCATTAATCGAGATTTAGCCGAATCACTACGGTAAGTGTTTAACTCGAATTTCTCAACCAATTTACAGAACTTTCACCCATTGGTTAGCTTGCTTCTTCTAGTGAAAATGTTGTCATTTTCACGTATATGACAATTTGTTATGGCTTGTTCCTTTGAAAGATCTGTGCCAAGCCAAGTCGCAAATTTCGTCGCAAATTTATACCAAAGCAACTTCTGTTTGAACTCAGAAACCTGCGCAGTGGTCATAATATTTTCAATCAGTCCTCTTTCAACGCGAAACGAAGATAATTCGCGACATGTTAACTTCCCTTGTAAAATCATTCATTCTAAATGACCGAGGAGGAGAGGGGGGTGGGGAGTGATAGGAGTGATTGCTACACCATCCAAAGGCGAATGCTAATGTGGTTTTACATCGTCAAAGGCTGAATACAAATATTTACTATAAAGGGTAGACATACTGTCACAATAGTTATCAAAAATTTTCAAACGCATTTAAAGAACGAGGTACAGCCATAGGGTTCGCTCTTCATGTCTTAAAGACCTTCCTCTTTCATTTCAGTCAAGAGTTCAACCTCCCCCTGCCTCCCCTTCCCCCTGCTTAAGCTGAGTTAAGAATAGCTTTTCCGGCATTAATATTGTTTATGACTCAATTTATATCTACCAATAAAACTTCGTACACGTACCTATCTTTTTCCACTGCTTGTCCTATAAAACGTATCAGGATACAATTTCAAACCAAACCACTGTCTCTGGAGGACATTTTTCTTTGAAAAAGGCTCTGAAATATCACCTTTCACTTTCTATCTAAGCCAAGTTCAGCATTCGTCTGACTTGTATTACAAGATGGATTGTTAATTGTTACTAACCGTGCAGATTTATGTCACGTTTAAAAGCCATGAAAGTGAGAAGTACCTTTTAATCTGCGATATAATTTGAAAACAACCTTCCAGTTAAGTTGTTTTGACGAAATCGATCGATGCCGCGCAATACAACGACCTGAGCAGTTCAAAGTTGAACAAGCGTGCTCGGAAGCATGCACAGATGTTTTGCATCGAAAATCGAAATATGTCATAAGCTCGTGCCAACTTTATATGTATATATCATAATGAGTTTGTATTTCCTTCACTGCTTTCACATTGCAAGTCATCTTTTTATTGCTTAGCGAAATTCTTTTAAAAAAATTGTGCGAAGTGCTAAAGTTATAATCCCTTGTTATCTATAATGTTTTTTTCGTTTAATTCATCTAACTTATACCTCCCAACCGCGCGCCCTGGCAATTGAAGTGGAACCTCTGAAAGGAATCGTTTTAAACCTTATAATACTTTTATTTCAAGATTGGGTGGAATTATTTTCTTACATATCTGCTACAATAATAAAAATAAGAAAGTACCACATTTTAAACCAACATCATTCGCCGAAATATTCCCCAATACAACCCTGTCACGCTCTCTATTGTTTAAACTTAATGACATAAAAATGACAACTTGATATCTAACCAAAACTTGAACAACATGCTGAAATTGTATTCAAAGTTGTTCCATGACATTGCCTTGAATCATTCCACGGGAAAATTCCACGGTTAAAGTTTTTCCTCTTTTATATCTATTTTAAATTCGACGGAAGAAAATGGTTTTAGGAGTGATTTATTTTTTCAACAATACGTCATGTAAATCGTGAAACTACGCACGAACAAAACCGCCCACCTGTAGACTAGTTCCCAGTCTTTCTATCCCAACATGCGTTCGAAATTTAAAATTAAAAATTAGTCGCAGAACAAGTTGCCAAAGACAAATGCTAACGAGAACCTTCTGAGCTCTCAGAAAAAAAATATATTTTGGAAAGCCGCCATGTATTCCAAGCCATTTGCACAGAGAAATAATATGAGGAAACATATAGTTATAAGCGATTCCAGACGAAGAAGTTTGGTTTTAAGGCCGGCTACGTTGACTCAGGAAGTCCTATGCCGGGCAAACCAACGTACACGACTCCTTCTTCAAGCAAGGATGTCTCATGGTATGTTAATAACTAAATTTTCCTTGTTTTGAGTATTTCTCTAGATTAAGGGGTCGTCTCAATGCTTTACTTGGGCTAAAATTGTAATACGTAAGATTTTTTTCAAAAATATTCCAAATACAGCTTGTGTTTTGTCTCTAAAATATATTCGGTTCGCTCGCAAGAACTTTTGTTCACAAGAAGCGCTTGTTGAATCAAAGAAGATTGTATCGTATCCCAACCATAATTTTTTCTTATTTGATAAATTTGTCTCTTTTATAATTCAATCCATGAGGTTACGTAACTGTAATAGAGCGATTCAGCCAAGCGAAGATGTTTCAATTTCCTCGACCGGCCGGTTCCCAAAATGGCACACATCAATCAAACTAGCACCCGGCCCATATTGGGATCCAAAAATATTTTAATTCTGACTTTAGGTTTTTGTGTTAATTTCCTGAGTATCGTTGTCTTCCAACCGTAGAGTTCAGAAAAGCTGCTTTATAACAAAATAAAGGCATTTTTAAGGGAAATCATTTCGTAAAAGACGTGAACACTTCACGCCAGGGCTATGTTTCAATATTCCGCTTTCCTTGTGTTGCATACAGTCCAGCTCGAGTTTTCAACAGAAAAAACCGACACATGCGCTTAACAAAAATAATTAGAAAACAGATATTGAATTTGCTAAAAAGGTATTTTTTTTAGAAAAAAGATAGGAAACAGTTACTACCGACTAGTCGTCTAAATATATCAGCTTTTGAGTTTATTTTCTGCTCATTAGAACCAAACACTCATGGATTAACGGATCTGCTTTTATTCCAATTTTAAATCACTACACGGGATCATAAAAATCTCGAAGGCCGCTGTTTGGATATAATAATTCACAACGTCGCGAAGATGCCTGTGACAATTTTTAATATATTCAATGTCACGTCTGTCCTTTTTTTGTTTGTTTGTTTTATCTACTGGTTACAGCTTACCGCTATTATATACTTCAGGAAGTTCTAAAATAACTTTCTTCAGAACTGACCCCGCCACGGCTCTTAGCCCATATAACAAAGAAAAACTTGGTAAACGTGCTCAGATGCATACATCGGGCGAACGGGCTTTCTCTGGCCAAGCTGTGGCCTCTTCCGCTCAATATCCTCACTTAAAAACCGAAGCCATAATTTTTTGTTTATCTCAGATCATGCTGTTGTGATATTTCATTTTTCATTCGTCAGAATATCTGATCTACGCGCGACTAAGCGCTCTTCCAGCTGTGTTAAAAATAAAAAAAAAATCTTTAAAGTGATTGATTTTCCTTATTACTACGGGTTTTGTTTCATGTCGCGCTATAGAATTCAGCTACAAAGTCTGGTACAGAAAATGTCCTTATGTAAATTGTGTCTTTAAAAGCTTTTGATCACCAAAACACACAAGAGTCTAAATTTTTTACGAAGCTGAAGAACGTTTGAAAGGGAAATTTGGATAGACGTGCCTCACGCCCTCCCCTAGAGTAGGCGGTTGTCCCCACAGTGGGGAATAGTTACCGTGCTCTTTCTCATGTCTCCTATGAGTCTCGGTCCCACTCTCTTCGCTTCTCTGCAGTATCCGTCTGTTTCCTCAAGTTTTCATACCATTCTAGTTAGCGCAGACATCTCTATTGCTTTAGTTATCTTTACTTACCAAGTAATTCTGCACTATTTCGGTGTCAAACTAAGAGAAAAAAGAGACAGTTTTGTGAAGAAAGTCGAGAAAATAAAATGAATATGGGGATAATTGTGTTGTGTTAGCGCTCATATCAATTCGAACTTAATTTTAAGAAGGATTTGTTGATTGAAAGCAAATTTTCAGGAGTTGTAATTGCAGAACATGGCGGCATATTTTGCTGAAGTCCTGAAACTACAATGAGGATAAGGTTCAGTGAAACTCGACGGACCAGGAACGAATGAAGGTCAAATGCAATACGCCAACTGACCCGGCATAATTGCCTTATAACAAAGAGATATAACCATTGTTATCTTTTGACGCAAACGACAACAGTCTTTAGAATTCAAGTAGGCGTTCGAGGTTATTCAATGGGAGCGAAAGATAAAAGCTAACTGGTTTTCATTTTCCGCGCCTGGCATCATATCAAATGAACAATTATTTCTAAGACAAGTTATTATTAGTATGATGAAGTGCAAGATGTGTGACGCTTGATAATCGGAGGAGCTTGATTTACGTGAGTCACTGCACGTTTTCTCATGAAGGAAGATTAATAAGGTAACTTAGCCAGCAATTATACTTGGCAGCCCACGCACTGCATGGAAGGTTTTTATCGCATTTTTCGCTTTGCCTTGAATTTAAAGTTTTTTTTTTCGCCCATAAAAACTGATAAATTGATATTTCAACCAGAAAGAATATTCCTTCCTGAGTGAGTTTTTATGCTACTCATATGTGAGTTTTTATGCTCTCATATTAAACTCTTCAAATCTTAGCTCCCTCTCTGAAAGGATCAGATAAGCCTGGAAGTTTTGGACATATTTTTAAGTCATTAAAACTGTTTATCCTGCTTTTAAAACTAAATTTTGCATTTTCTTTCATCGGATAATTTGCGAAGTCCTTTAAACTCTTAAAAAACAAAGGAGGAAGGTTAAGGAGTCGATCGCATATATCATCTCTCTTGCCTGCATTTAAATAAGTGCGGCAGAAGCACGCGATCTCAAAGGCTCAATCAAACAAATTTTCCATGTGAATTTGGCAAATAATGTTATAATTCTGTCTAGATTGATTTACAGTAACATTTAAAAGCCCTAATTTTAAGTTTCTTAAAGAATTTGGACCGGAAAATTCATAATTTGACATCTGTCAGCTTCCGTTCTTCTTTCCACACCGTGTGAATTCACACGTCTTTAGGGCGTATTTTGGTTCCCAGTCTCTGCGCGACCACGCCGCGGTGTTTTCTTTGAGATCTTAAACTGTGAATTTATGGACATTAACCTCAGAGCTTTTTAACCTCAATTGGTGCAACTCATTTTGCGTAAAGGAGGAAATCATGATGTATGCCAAGTTACTGTTACAGAGGAACAACACAAAAACGCCAAGCGTTAGTAGACATCCAAGCACAAGTCAATATATTTTCAAACCAAGTTTAAATTCTCTGATTCGACAAGGAGTTCTGTCGCGGAAAAATCGCTTCGCCCAACTTTTCCCTCAAGCAAGGACTTCCTCTGGTACGTAAGAATATCATATTTTTAACGAAATGCAGCTTTACTCGGCATTATTTCAAAACGAAACTAGAAGCTCTTTGTAGTTTTAATGAGCTAAATCGGATCGAGCAGGCATACTTTAACCAGACCCACGTAGTAAAGTGGTTTATGTACCAGCCATGTGGTACTATCACGAGAAAGGAGTCGTGAAAACAATTTTAAAGCATAGTATTCAGTTTCTTTTAGCTTTTTCCGTTTTTCAGTGTTCAAAATGTGGGTCGAAAAACTGGAAGCAGGAAATATGATGGGAGGAGAACAGGGTGTAGTTTCTATTTCGTCACTTTGAGAACATTCGCTCTTTCTCGTCAGGAAAGCGGAAGATATCCGCGGCAAATAATTGATCCTTTCTTATTTCAGAAGTAACGAGTGCAGCGAGGTATTTTATGATTTTCCAGCTCGCTTCTCAGTTTAAGGAGGCTCCATAGGATTTCTTGACCGCTATATATCTGTGTGAGAACACAGTGCGAGCTTTGTAAGTGTCAACGTGCAAAACAATCATGGCGGCGAGATATAATCGCACAATTGCTATCTGAAAAGGTGTGTCAAGAACAGTTGAACACTTTAAAGTTTTTATGTCATGGAATCTAGGGTTGCCAGCAACTGCACTCCTAATATTCATAGATCTTCTTCGCCTGAAAAAGAAGTCAACCGAAAAGAAAACACTGTGGGAAAGATTACCAAAAGGCGACAGATTCGAAAGTTTAATCATGCTCAGATACAGATCTTGGCAAAGTGCTATTCCATTACGTAATGTTTTGCGACAAAGGAAGTAAGGATCTTTCGAGCAAGATTTATCGCGTTTCCTTCGGTGGAATTTCGTAAGATTTGCTGAATCGTTAAACGTATTTGTGCGCTTCCTAGTGCCTGCTTTAACTATAAATTCATAAGACCAAATTTGAGATAGAGGAAGAAAACACAAAACTGCAAATAACGAGCGAACTACCACTGTAACCCCTATTTTTTCTGCTTTTCAATGATCGGCAAAGCAAATTTCTCTCATTGTTAAAATTTTGAGAGATTTCACCGAAGCAAATTGAAGAAAAACAAAGGCAGAGCCAAATTATCACTGGCGAGCGCCTTCCTTCTTGGAGCCTTAACTTAGTAACGAAATTCATATTGATAATATTTACTACAGAAAACGATAGTCCGAAACTCGCTCATCGCTTTTTGATGGCTTTTAGTTACCTTGAAAAGAAAAAAACAAAACATTTCCAAGAGAAACATTACAGTTGCACGCGCGCCAACACTGAGCAAAAACCCCATAGAGCCTCTTAAGTCAGCAACTTTACGATCTATTCTCATCAATCTTCCTAGATTACCCAGGTCTACTCGTCTTCAGTTTTAAAACAAGCTTCTGTTATTACAAATCCTGATATAAAGCAAAGGTTCCTACAAAGATGAAAAAATTGAAAAGAAAAATTGATAGCAAAACTTAAGAAAAGTAGAAAAGTGGAGGTTGTATCAAGTCGTATAAAAAAGTGAGACGCTATAATCAAGTTATTTATATCTCCACCTCTAATGATTTTCGCGTTTACCAAGAACTGAAAAAACTCAATTCACCAACCTATGTCGAAAGGGAACAAAATTATTTCATTTCTTTTTAAAGCGGGGGGCGATGAGAAAAATACAAAAAGAATATCAGCTAAATAAAGGGAGTAATGATTGATTTATCACCAAATTCTCTTGCAAAAGTTATGTGAAAAGTGTGGTAGCCAGTGAAGAGATTTGATGTTTAGATCTGTTGAGTAAAATTGTTAAAATTATTGCCATTAATGTTCCCTCTTGAAAGTATCTTTTTACTCCTTCAAGGAATCGTTTGAATTTGACATCCGAGCTATGGGGAAAATCATTCAGGGCGTGGTTTTTGTGTTGTGTTAAAAACTTGTTTAATATGCTGGCCCAGAATGTAGGTATTTATTTTCTGATTTGCGCGTGCGTGAGCTTCCCAATTAACAATTTATCCGATGCTTTGCTCCGAAATCGCAAAATCAGAAAATGTGGCTTTTTTTTGTTGCATCTGCACTTAGGAATCGAAAGTGCTAACCTTGTAGTCGAGCAAATCCTTCCAGGCAAAATTTTAGTCAAGTGAAAAAGTGTCAAGGATAACCAATTATAGCATATTAAGTAGATCAGCAAACATTTTTCCATATTTTCACATACTTTTTGCGAATTCTGGTTCGGTGAATTCTCATGTAATCATTAGAAACAGCATGAGGACCCCTTCCTCAGGTGTGACCAACGCCTTTATTTTCTCGAGCCTAGGATTCTTTTCTTTTGAATTATTCGGAGAAGTTAGTGGCTGATCGCGTAATTTATTTCCCTCAACGACGAAAGTAAGAAAAAATTCATCAAAAAAAATAAACAAAAACAAAACGACTTGCTTACGTAGTTCGTGACCTCTCATGACTCGATGCACGCGACGAGATGCACGTGCGCCTTTGGCCTCGTTATGAGGTAGACGTCGTTCATCTCTCTGACTCCTTTCCAAGCCCCTTTTGATTTAAATTGCTTCTCACGGTGGGGACTAAACACTTCAATGGCAAAATGGCGTCGAGACGGTTGTTGTTTGTTAAGGTTATCGTGAGAAGAAAAAAACGCAGGAAAGTTTGTAAGATTTGGCTACTTTAGTGGCCATGTCTTCTTCAAATCTGCCAATGGGCAAAGTGTATAGAACTGTGAGAACGTAACAACTCATGAGGCCAGGAAAAGACATTTAAAAGGTGAGGATTACTAAGTTTTGTTTGTTGTTGATGATCGTGCACGCAGCAGAAACTTGGAAAATCTTGCCCGTGTTTGAAACCAAGTTGTCTCTTTTACCGATACACGCTAATACTTAGTTAATGTACGCGATTTTGTATTTTGTGCGAAAGTTCAGGGCTTTAATATCGCAAATATGAAATATGGCGTTAAACCTTTCTATGAAGCTTGAGAGGGGTTTTGTCACCCAAACTGTAAAACAATTGTATTTTCTGCATTTTATCTGAGTGGGTTGTTTATTTATTTACCGTTCTCAGAAGAATCTTATATGGGTGCTTAAAGACTTAGATAAGAGTGATGACCTTGTTACTGTAAATTCACCGAAATCCATGGCTTGTATTTTTTGCGACGTCCGCAAACATCACCAAACGTTGAATTGCTTTTGTGACAATTTTCTGGAGTGTAAAGTCACTTAAAAACCGTCAATTGTTTGTGAATCCTAAATTGAATTGGTGAAGTGTACATGTTCTCTGGCACGGGCCGTTTGTTTTCAAGGGGTCCTTCCGATTGTCATTAGTCCGTGATGTTCAGAATACTTTGAGCAAGAGTGGTTTAAACTCACTTACGAGACTATCACCCTCAGACTATCTGAGAAGAGCTACAGAGCAGCATGAACCTCGGCTTTCTTCGTATTTCTCAAGTTTCTAACCTTGGAATTTAAATCAAGTTAACTTTGGACAGGAAAATTTCACTATATTCCTCACATCTTAAAATCCGAACGAAAACAAATTTAACATTCCTCACTCATCAACATATGCATGTCGTTGCTAACGAAATCGTCTAAGATACCTTGAGATTTTTTTCTTGTTTCGTCACGTACCTGGGGTAGTTAATCGTTTTATTTTACTGTGGATATTAAGAAATTAAGATTACACATAATTTTTATAAAAATTAAGTAATAATGGCTACAACATCAAGCCAAGGTGAAATGGAAATCTTCCAAACGTGTGGGAAGCAGGATAGAGTATCAAACAAGTTTTCCTGAAAACAAATTATAAATACAACGTCACAATATACTTTTTTACGAGAAACGTGTCGAATGTCACTTCTTCGCAAAGAAAAACAGGCCTCTAAAAATGAAAAGTATGGAAAATTTGCGCTCTCTGCGGAAAACAAATTGGTAACTTTCCTTCCTGCCGCACGCGTGCACGTAGTCACATCACTGAACGGAACTAATTGTTAGTCAAGTATGTTTCCTCTCCTTGTAATCGTGACGACATGAACGTTTCCTCAAGTGTATATAAACTCAAATTGCATCCAGTTCATTTAAAGGCTATGCAGACATCGACGTGTATACCGAGCTTCGACTACAGAGGAATAGGTTTAAAGATTAAGTGAAATGGGTTCTTGTAGACGAGGTGTGATTTTGAGACGTAATCCGTTATGCGAGAGACAAGAATTAAATTGGAAAAATTGTTCTACATTTACACATCTTCCAGCCAGGATATTTTACGGTACGTTAAATACACTCTCTAATAATTATATTTTTGTACTTGTGTTCTTGTCAGAACGAGACAAATTACCTCTCGCCTTTTGTGGTCATTTCAAGAAGAAACTGAGGGAAATTCGGTATGAAAGAAGTTTATATAACTTCCAGTATTGATCAGATATAAATCAGTGTTCGAGGTCATTTGGCTGTATTCATACGAACGGACTAAATCAAAAAATTAGCTATAAAATACTCCTCTTTCACCGGTGATCGTTGAAATTATCTCGCGAGTTTGAAACAAACTGATCGACTTTGACAAATGAGAAAAGTTTAGACCCAGCTATAGTAGTACACAAAGAGTCACTTGTATATCGTAAATTCTAACGAGTTTCATATAGAACTTTCCATGTTATCAAAGTTCAGTCCAAGTCCTGTATCAAAGTTTTAACTCTTTCGTAAACATGGACTTCGTTTACTTTCGTCTCTCTCAGCAAGAAGTCGCGTTCAAATACGTCCATCTCGTTGTTCATTTTGTATCGACTATGATTATCTGCACGATTGTAAAACAACACGTAGAAATAAGACGGCATGCAAAAGATGAATTGATTCTTGAAGTTTTTGATGCAAGCTGGAAAGAGACTCGTTCCTCAATTTTGTCAATACTTCGATCGTGAAGTTCTCATTACGAGAATATTGCAGGGATTGATCCATTGAATTGTAGTCTGAGTGTATTGTTTGCGAAGTTTTGGGAAAGTCCCTGCTAAAATTGCGATAGTCACATTCAGTTTCTCCCATTACATGGGTTGATTCGAAAATACAAGTCTGCAAAATGTTGCGAGTTATTTCTGGTAAATGTGAGCTTTTGAAGTGAAATAATGAATCATTTCACTTCTCTATGGATCAGTGTTTCAGTTTAGATTGCTTAATAACGATAATTTGGACGAGTCGTACTGATTTTCGCTGAATTTACCAACTGTCCTTTGTGTTTTAGCTTGTTATTAAGAAATTTGGCGATTACAGTAAAGGGTTGTGGAACATGGGCATCCTATTAGTATGAGACACAGCCTTTTCTCGGCGCATTAAATTTACCGTGGCGTATGTGTCATGACCTGATTGTCGCACTTGGCTTGCAACGACGCACGGAGATAGCCCCCTAAAAGCCATAGAAAACGTGAAAAGTGTCTGACTTTCCGTTTCGAGGAGAGCTTTTAAAGGATTTCTTGAAATCGGGTCTCATCTGACCAATTCGTTTTCTTTTTGCCCTTAAACTCATAAAGTTCCTTGATGGCAAGCCTCCATCTTTCTCGGCCCAGATCGTGTAGATGATTCATAGGCGGACTTTGCTTGTTAAATGACTTATCGAAGCTATTGTAACGCAAAATCATGACTCCAAACTGATCCCGCCTCTAGAGAAGCTTTAGAAATATTTCTAGAGCTCGAGTCGACCAACATTGTATTTGGATTATCTTTCAGTGATAACTGCATTTGAACGGAACGCGCGCCTCTCCCAACACAAACACGTAGCGAACGAATGGATCTAAGAGACCATAAAATCAACACTAGTGAACACTGCGTTCATCGTGAATATATCTCGGTTAAGTTGTGAGGTTGGTTCAGTGAATGGGTTTCATTGGATTATTGCTTCGGTGTCGGCTTTAGGCAACATTTTCGCGCAGTGCGATATATGGACAGAAAAGACATGAAGCGATATTATATCGACTTTCCTTACCCCGCGAGTTAATATGGAAAATCTTTTTACTCCAAGGAAGAGGCCTGGTATTTTGTGCAAGGCTCTCTGCACAATGAAGTCGATTAAAAAGAAAAAACTTCCATCGTAACTTGCTTGGAAGCGGGAGACCATAAAACCTCCTCCGACTCGTCCTCAAACACAGAACAAGTATAGATTGCCGTTCCCTTTTATTACGTATTTTGTTTAGTGGGAGTTATTTGGTGGCCGCTTTATGGCAAAAACACGATTTTTGTTCACGACATTTTCATTCTACACTTCGGTAAGGGAAAACGATGAAAAACAAGGAGAGAACGCAGCAGCCTGCACCGACATTGTGTAGACTTTTCTTCATTATATTAACCTGTCGTTTCTACTCAGAGATCTCATGTATTCCGAATTGCCTCTTGTGGTCGGCTTTTGAAAAAACTTTCTTATTGACTGATGAGTTAGTAACTTAGTATATATCTCATGAATTTTTCAGTCTTTTGAAATGTCTGAAGTCTTGCAAGAGCAGCAGTTAAATCGCACATCCCGTTAGGGTAGCCTGGACAGCACCGGGACGGGACGGGATGTAACAGGCGCCCATCGGAACCAATCAGATTTCAGGCTAACAGGGTAATTTAACATTATCAACTGAGTTGATAATGTAAATTGGCCACCTCTCTGACGAAGGGCAAACGCTCGAAACGTTAGGTTTGAAACTCTTTGCGGTGGCCAATTTACGTTATCAACCCACTTGATAATACTTAATTACCCTGTTATACTCTCCCACCGACGCCGCACCACATTTTCTTTAGAAACTTCCCCCCCCCCCCCCCCCCCCCCCCCCTTCAATCAGATTTCTCTTTGACATGTCAAATCCGTAGCGGTCACACTGAGGAAAATATTAATTAGAACTATTTTTAGAACAAGTTAATGTAATTTTAGAGCAGGGTCAAAGTGCCCTTGACAGGAGAGATCAGCGGTGGGATGTACTACGTGAAAAGAAACTACTGTAGTTCTTTGCCCAGCACTCGTCTTTTAAGATAATAGTATTTTTTCGCCATCAAAAGAATATAAAAACTGAAAAAAAAAATACATCACGCCATTGGGGCAAAAGGTTACAAAAATTTATCATAACAATCAAACTTCCTGTTGTGATTGCTGATCTTTGATTCAAATTAGCGCCAATGTCTTTGCGTGGGCGGGCAATAAAATCAGAAGACTAATGTCCATCTACTCTCGGTGAACCCGAAAATTTCGTATAGTATTTTAACGAGCATTCACTGCCCAAACATCCAGTCACTATCAATGATGGTCAGTATCTCTTCTTTATTATGGAAAATAACACAAATTTCATTGCGTATTCATGGCTTTTAACCTCGCGTGACTTTCTATGTATTGTTTACATCGTGACGTATTTGCATTGCGTTCGAATTTAGGGAAATCGTTATCAGACACGTACAGGCCAAGGGCGCTTGCACAACTCTCTCATTTTTTAGCAAAAGAACGGATTCTCTCCATCCTTTGAGCTTGAAGAGGCTATCTTACTTTAAAGAAAAGCTTTGCTAAATGGATTTATCTCCAAATTAGGGCTTGTTCGAGAAACATACAACGAAAACTCACGTTTTTTGAACCAACGCTCTGTTATGATCACGTGTTATGGCTGTCTGTGTTTACACGTGACCTAGTGTGTGACATGCAGCCGTAGAGTGACACCATTGAGTTGATTCTCCGATCGAATCTAAATTTGTTTTGTTTCACTTTGTCAGGCTCGTTTCTCCGTATGTCCTGCGTTAAATCAAGTAACAGAAACATGTTGTGCGATCTGTGCAACGAGAAAGCAGTGACGAGATGCCCATATTGTAAAACTGCTCAGTATTGTGGCGCGGAACATCGAAAGAGCGACTTTAAATTACACAAGAAAAAATGTATGGGGTTGCCTTCAGTGGAAAAGGAACAACAGTTTAGGGAAAATAGGTTAAATGGGTACACCCCGATGGACTTACTTCAAAACAGGTTTTTCGAGCGAGCGGAGTTTGTCGTGGATACGTTGAGAAAACAAGGTTACTGTTATCTAGACGATTTTCATGGTGAAGACATTGCACTAAAAATCCTCAGCGAAGTAAAGAACTTACATCACAGAGAGAAGTTTACAGACGGAGAATTAGTATCTTCAAATGGGAATGGTAGTATGTTAAACAAGAAAATACGGGACGATAAGATAGCTTGGATAGATGGTAAAGAGGAAAATTGCCAAGCCATTTCGCATCATATGACAACGGTGAATACTTTGATAAGATTCTGCAATGGACTTATTGAAGAATACGACATAGAACACAGGACAAAGGTAAGAATGATATCTCTGTATACAGAAATTTGTGCGAACGCAATTCATTACAGCGACGTTGTACACATGTTAAACTTTTTATGGATTCGATTGCCCATAACACGAACAGTCAGATACCATGTTAATCTCCCAGGCGTTTTTCCGCCTTACGCTGTAGTTAATGAAGGATTTGTGCTTCTAATCCATTAGATACACTGCTGTTCTCGACTTTGTTCGAGATTTTCGCGCCGATTGAGATCTAAAAGGGTGAAATTTTATATTTTTTGCCGAGTCAAAGGCATTCGTTTAATGTCATGCACCTAATTTGAATTTTCTTCAGAAGGAAGCAATGGCCGTCTTCATATTTAGCTTCTGGCGCTCTACGTGCGTTCGATCACGTACTTATTCATTGTTACACGTGACCAAATTGAACAACTGAAGACAACATTTAAAAAAATGAATTTTCTCGAAAAGTGTGGTTCTTGAAATCTCTGGCCAAGGGTCTCGTAGGCCCAACGACATTTAATCTCTTTACAGTATCATAAGCAATATTATATACATTTGAAATTCTTTTGCCAAGGTCAAGGGTGTCGAGATTTTAATTACAGAGACAACAAACTGGCTGAACAAGTATTTTGAAAATTTTAACTGTAGAAAATTTTTCAGATTAAAATATTTTGTTTTCCTTCATGATACATGGATCTTAACTGGAACTATAGATATTTTAGTGTAATTTTTTCCCTAAGGGTATTTTCATTTCTATCACAAACTTACAACCTATTGTTGTGGTACACTGCTACAGATTGCAATGGGAAATTTTCAAATTAAGAGACTTAAGTGTTCTCTAGTTAGTTTAACATGCATTTGAATGTAATGTATCCATTGAAATTTCATGGTGCTTAAAAATTTTAATTTTTCCCATCTCTAACACTGGAATATGTTATGTACAATTTATGGTACTAGGTAACAATTATGAACTCCAACTTGGGTGTGAAGTAATGCATGCTCTTCCCACCAATTAGAAGTGTAGGGATAACTGCGTAAATAATCTCCAGAATCATGCAGTCTAGGCCAAAACCTTTCCCAAGGATTGCTGTTTTGTGGTCATGAATGAGAGGTTTTTGTGTTTGTTTTTGTTTTGAAACGTGAATTGTCACATGTAAAAGTGTTCTGATGAATTATTTTGCATACTTATGTAATAGCTGGATTGTAACATGCTCTGGACAAGTGCTACCTCCAGGATGATTAATGAGTTTGAGCATACCTTGTCGATTTGTACCCAAGATACAACAATTTACATGTATGCCTGTAGACAGCTCAACAGTGAGATCTCGTTTCTATCACTCAGAAAGCTGTCAGGATGGTTAGGCATGACATTATCCAACACTAGAATTTTATTTAGAAAAAGAAAATTATAATTAAACACTTCTGAAAAATTTAGTCCAAAATCAAGTTTTCTTACTGAATAGGGGAGTAATCTTGTTGACTAGAGTTCTAATGCATCATCTTTCAGACCATTCACATGGAGTATAATCCAGTTAATTCTAGAAAGATATTAGTTTCAAAGGAAACATTTTTTTTTTTGCTGGGTCATTGGGCAAGTGAAACACTTTGTTGACTATCAACCAATTGTGGATAAACAGCTTAAGTTAGGTTTTAACAAGTGATGTTTAGAGCACAATCTCTTCATTAGAATAAGGGGTTTCATCAGAACCTTGAGTTTTAGTCGCAATTTAATAATTTTGAAATTGCATGGATGAATACACATGTTGAATATTTCATTCCACAATTCTAGAATGTAGTTGCTCAAGCATGGACAAAGAAATACTGAAGTGTGTTTTGGGTTAATCACAACTGTTTCACACGTATCATGTGCATGTACCAGTTGAAAAGCTTCCTCAACTACACATAAAGCCATTTCAATTGAAATCTGACTTGGTTTTTTTTCTTCTTTCTTTTTTTTTTTTCCACTCAAAGTAGCAAACACCAATGCTTGTAGATATTCAGTCGTAGTTCCCTGACCTTTGTAGCATTTACATTGCACCTCTGACTTGAAGACATCGCATAAAAATTTCAAAAGATTTTGTCATACACGATTTAAGATTCACATGTGGTTTGGTTCACAACCGATATTTCGATTTTCAGGATTTCTTTTGTGTATGAATGTGGATTGTGTTCTAGAAAGCTCTTTGGATTCAATGATGCGTTAAGGTTATGAGATCAATTCATTGAATGGGATATCTACAGGAAATTAGAATCTTTGAATTAATCAGTTTCAACCCAAAAGTTGTGAACTTTCATTGTTCTCTTTTTCCTGACGTCACTTGACTTTGACCCCGACACCCCATAAAGCACTTGGAAAAGAAAAGCCAAACAGATTGAAGAAACGTGATTAAACACGTGAGAGGAAGGAAACAATGTGCCAACACTTTGACGCAGAAGTCGCTTTAGAGGTCATTCATGGGAACACCATTTAAAAAAAATGTCACATTCACAAAATTTGCTTTACTTAATTTATCCTAAATTAATTGAACATTCAGAACTACAGTTTATAAGTAAATATGCATGCAGCTTGTTTAATAAAACACTAAGTGGATCTAGTGCTTGATCCAGTTGGAAAAGAAGAAGGGCATCAAACAAACCCTGTTTGTTTTGACATATTTGTTACAAATGATGTTTGGTTTAAGCTGATAAATCTATCTTGAATGTGTAGTCTCATCAACTTACCATTCATGTACTTTTTGTAAAGACTTCTGTATTTTGGTTAAATCCAAAATGTAGTGCACTATGTTAGATCCTCTAGCTTTTCCTTAGGTGTAAGGTAACTAAAAATGAATTTCTCAAGAAATCCTCAAGTGACAAATGCTGCTGTTTTAACATAATATTTCGTAGAAAAATGAGCATTTAATCCTTAATCATGTTGATCCCAACATTTATACAGCTAGTCTTTGTCAGGTGAAAAGGTTGCCTATACCTTTCTTGGTTTCATATTTAGAAGGTTATAGTAATCTACTGAAGTCTGAACTTTAAGGGAAATTTAGGTGGTAGGATTGAAAAATCTTATGCTGTTGACCAAGGAATAGTCAGCAGTTATACCTACTATTGATCATGTCCGTGGTAATATGAAATTTTCATTTCAGAATTAATAGGAAAGTAAAATTTACACAAAGAAGAAAATTTAGTTACTACAGGTGCTAAAGCTTTTCCTTATTATCATTGTGTTGACCAGAATTTCTTTTCTTCCTTGCTCCAAGCAGGCAATGGTGGCATGCTATCCTGGTCAGGGTACATGTTACAAAAGACATGTAGACAACCCCAATAAAGATGGACGCTGTATAACAACACTGTACTATTTAAACCCAGGATGGACAGAGGAGGTTAGTAGCTTTTCTATAAATATCTGTTCACCCTATCTTGTCTGGATTTTATGTAAGCCTTACAGAAAACTCAGACAAGGATAAAAAAAACTACATTTCGGAAATGTAGTTTTGGGAGAACTGTGTATATTACCACCAGAATATTCTCCATTTCTAAATGAAAAATGGCTGAGGCAATCCAAATCTAGTCAAAGAAAACTGCTCAACAAGGAAAAAATTCTCTGATTGGTGGTATTTTAATGAATGCCCTCTCTTTTTTTGGCAAATTAAATTAGTTTTGTACATATTTTAGATGGATGTCTTGGCTAGTTTCTCCCTTAAGATACAGTTGTTTACACTATCGATGACAGAAAATGACCATTTTGTTTTACAGAAAGGAGGTATGCTAAACCTTTATCCAGGAGGCAGTGAAGAGCCAGTGAAAATTTTACCCAGACTAGACAGGTTACTCCTGTTTTGGTCAGATCGCAGAAATCCACATGAAGTGGCACCCTCTCATGACGTGAGGTTAGTTTACAACTCTTCCCTTTCTGGCACATATGATATATACGCAATTGTTTTTGTTGTATCAAGGATTCCAAACAAATTTGTTGTCAGTGTTATCAGCCGAAGTCAAAAAAAAAAAAAAAACCCAAACACAGTTGAGGTTATTGTCACAATCCTTGGTACCACCCTTTTGGTTATGGTTACACTTTTCTTGATGTTTAATTACAATTTTTGTCATGATTGTCCTTATTATTATCATTACTATTATTATAATCGTCTTCCTCATTCCACCTTATCACTTTTATTAGAGCACTGACACTACCTCTTCTTTTGCTTGTAATCATCCTCACAGTATTTTCCTCCTCATTCTAATTTATTGCCATTTCGTAATACCTATTCTTCTTTTTAGTCTAATTAGTCGTGTAACCTTGTCAGGGACAGTGACAAGGCCCATGTATCATTTAAAGTTGATTTAAGAAAGGGCAAAGTGTTTTGATTTTAATCAACCCTTTAACTCCCAAGATCTCATTAGTAATTCTCCTTACTGTCTGCCATACAGTTCTTGTGATGTTAGTTTTGGGAATTTGGTATTGGATCAACCAATAATCCTCTAACTGATATTTTTCTTTATTCTCATCACTTGTCTGCTTGATATTGTAATGATATCTAAGGAGAAATTCTGTTTTGGTCACTCATGGGAGTTAAAGGGTTAAAACACCAGTGAATACTTACTACTATTTCCTTTTTTTTGGCCTGTGTGTTTCATTAAGGGGTCAGAAGTACCTTATGTGCATTTTTTGCTGATCTTGAATTTGTTTTGTAAATAATGATTTTTTATTTTCTTCTCCTTACAAGATACGCTATCACACTATGGTATTTTGATAAAAATGAAAGAGCTAGGTTTAGAAGTAAGTGAATTTATTATTCTTTGAAGTACTATACTTACATGTATGTTCAGGGTGAATTAGTTCATTGAGTAAAGTATATTACATGTTCCTCTTCTCTGGCAATTTAAGATGATATGTTCAAAGGTACATATTGTATGATTCAGGATTGTCTGTTTTCTGGAGGATTAAACATGACTCTTTTTCAATTTCTCAAAAATAATTCTTTTTTTAACTGTAGAAAAACAAGAAGAGGAGGAAAGGAAAAAAGCAATTTTTAGCGGACAGGTACAATACTTAAGTCATGCTTTAACAAATGGTCATTTTAAATTTTTAAAATATTAATCTGAAGAGTACCCCAGTACTAAATAAACTTCTTTACAGAAGAAGTACCCTTTTGACCCACATATAAAATTCTCCTACAGAACATCAGTAGGTTAAAGTCAAGCTCTCTTTTTTTTTTTAAGGAAAATGGCAGCAACGAAGGAGGAGGCAACCAAGACCAGGAAATTGCAGGAAGTAGTTGAGATGTACATGCTGTTAACTTGTGACAAGAATTCTCAATTGTAGTGATTGAACTCTCCCAGTCTGTGTTAAAAAAAAATACTTTGAAGACTGATGCTTAGAAGATTTCCTTTGTGTACTTTATTAGCCAAACTTAATATGTAACTGATAAAATGAGAAAGAAAATAATGCTGTAAGCTTTGTTTACTGTTCATCAATAGGCTGTTGTAGGCATTCAGGTAGGAAAACTGGGCCAAAATATAAATGGCATGATAGCAGTGACAGAGCAATAATGAGGAAGGGTTGGGTCATTCACTATGCTACTCAACCCTTGTTTTGTTTTTGTTTTCACTCCTTTTCTGCTCTTGTGCTGTTAGCTCTTTAACTCCCAGTGCAGTGATTAACATGAAACTTCTCTCAGTGATATCCATACATTATTCAGCAAACAGGTAATGAGAATATTCAAACCTATCAGGAAGAAGCTGCTATCTTGATCTAGCACCAAGTTCTCATAACTAATTTACAAGGAAATGTGTAGCAGCTACAGGGGAGAATTAACAATCAGATTTTGGGAGTTAAAGAGTTAACTATCTCACTTTGGTTTCCTAACTGAACAGTCTGCCTGGAACAGAGTTAGTGCTTTAAAAGAATCTACCTCAAACAATAATGAATCAGTTGTATAAGCACTAGTAATGTGTTAAGGTGGCTTTGAAAGGAGCTCTGAGAGGAAAGGTAAATGCTTAACATACAAAACAACAAGGGAAAAATTATAATATGTTGTTTTTGTGTTGAACATGGATAGCTTCTCAATGTGATGTTCTTTTTGCATGTACTCCATGTAAGAAGTCAATTTCAGAGGCACCTTACAATTTTTGAAATGTTATACTTCTAAATTTGTACATCTGGTGGCACATTAGAATGTTTGTTCCACTGTGTACAAAATGTTGTGTAACAGTTTTATAGAAATGTGATTGTGGAATTATCTTAACTTACTGTAACTAGCTTTAAAGATTCTGTTTCAGTTTTTTTTTGGAATTCTTTTATTAATTGAGCCCTGAGGACCCTGCTTTTATTTATATAACTAAATCTTTTCAGATGCAAAATTATGAAATCCAACTTTTTCATCTTAAATGGCTCTTACTTAGTTTTGTAGCATAAGAGGGAACTGGCATAACTTATCATTAACATATCATTAACATATATGACATATGTAAACTTCTGCACAAAATAGAAACTGTTTAGTGTTCAGAAAGCTACCTGAAGTGATTACATTGTAAGTGATGAGTCTGGCTTCCTGTTAGGATACCTTTTTCACACGAGGAATCCATTTTGTCAGCTTTGCTTAAAATAATTTCAGCATTAATTGACTGGTAAAATCCTTAAATTGTATAATATTATATCATACACGACCAGATGGATATGCAATTTATTTGTTGCCAATCTGCTGAACACACAAGACTGATTCCTCTATGTTTAAGAGGTGACCAATCCCACCTACCATAAATTCAAAGCTTTTCAGTTGATGGCAAAAGGTAGAAATATATAGCATTACTAATGGCTATTTTACTGTGAGGCCCAAGAAAAATATCTTAACTTTAAAAAACATACAGTCATATCTTGGTTTATATATATATATATATCAGCATGGTTATCATAAATTGTTCTCACACTGTGAGGATGAAAAAGTTGGAATGGTAAAGGCAGTTTGACTGCAAGGTAGCGCTTGCCTAACAAAGATTAATGTTTAGATTTATATCTGGGATAGGTTAACAACAATGCATTTTATGGTTTAGTTCCTAAATGAGAAGAAAAACAGCAATTTAAAAAGTCTTAAATACTCAACACTTTATTGTTGTTAAATATTTCCTAATGTGCTTAAAGTAAGGATGAAAAATATGTTGGTTTGAATCAAAAGAGAGCTAAATTTGCTGCTTTGGAAATGTGAATATGTGCATCTGTGTATTGTTTGCAGATTTGCCTGCTGTCTTATCAAAAAAATAAAAGTCACATCAAGAAATTATTAAATAAATGTACATTGAAACTAACATTTTGGAAATTTAATCATTTCTTCAATTATTGATATTAAGACTGTCAGAAATTAGAGTAGAATTTTCATATGTTTGATTCCTTTGTGTAATTTGTTAGAACCTTTGAATCCAACTCAATATCTGATATTGGTTTATTAACTGCTATGAAGAGAGAACATGATAGACCTCTTTCATAGATGGTGGACTTAACCATTTACATCCTAAAATCAGTATGCATATTCTCCATACTGCTTTTTATACATTTCCAAGGGTGCAGACAAGGAGAATTTGTTTACCAATCAAGAGTTTCTTTTGTTGGTGATCATCTCCTTTATTCTCATGGCCATCATATGTGAGTCAGGGGTGATATTGTGAGGAGAAATTTGATGCTAGTCACCCTTAGGCTTTAAAGAGTTAATATTTCTTTTACATTTATGTCAATTAGCCTTTCTGGCCTCTAAAACATGTTTATGGATCAGGAAATTCTTGCTCTAAAGGGAGGCCAAGAAGACTTGCTTGCATTCACGTAAGCTTAAAATAATAGTAACACTTGTACCTCCACCATGAAAGAGGTCTTCAGAGGAAATACATCATCTAAAGAGTTTCAATCCAATTTTATTCATGCCAAACCATAAATCTCTTTTTTTTTCTACTTCCACCTGTCCTGGGCCAGTGCTTTAGGCAGTTTTTCCCATTTTTTCTCTGGTAATTTGGAGCTCAATTTTGTAATTAGTTCTAGTCCAAGCAATGAAACCTCGAGACAAGAGAAGATTTTGGTACTTTTTAGAGTATATATAATATACAATATAAGATATGATTAATTGAAATTGAGTCTTCTTTAACATCAAGTCTCCCAAAAATTACATTCCATTCTGTCAATGTTTCAACATTAATACAGTTATCTTTAAGCCAGGATAAGACGTGTTTTCATGACAAAAGTGATGGGAACTCAGGGATTAAGGCAAGGAAGCTCAGGGAGGGTGGTTGGGGAGGGAGTATGGTGCATTCTGTCAGCTTTTTTTATGTCCCTTAACCCTTAACTCCCAAGATCTCGTTAGTAATTCTCCTTACTGTCTGCCGTATAAATCTTGTGGTGTTAGATTGGAGCATTTGGTATTTGATCAACTAATAATCCCCTAATTGTTACTTTTCTTTTCATCTCATTCAAGTGATTCATTCTCGTCACTTGTCTACTTGATATTTTATTGATAGTGTAAGGAGAAATTTTGTCTTGGTCACTAATAGGAGTTTAAAGGTTAAGACTCTAACCTACTTTTCTCTCCATTTTCTCTTCTATAGACTTGTAGTTCTGATCACTTTAAAATAAGTTTCTTATCAGAGCTAAAATGAATTTCCCTGGTGATTTTGAAAAGATTAATTGTAAGGCCTTACACTTAAAACCAACGTGTACTTATGTTCCTTTTTGAGTTTGTGCCTTGTGTTTACAACTATAAATGGGTTATTGCCTGTTTATTAGAAATAAAATGTTTCCTACTGGGTTAGTTTAACATTTTTGGGTCTCAAATTACACAGTGAATGATGGGATGATATGAAATATTTGATTAAGGCTGCATGAAGTTTTTTTTCTTAAAAACTTGGAATTTCTAAAGGATAGATTCTACTAATACTTATTAAAATATTAAATTCTCAACACTTTTTTAGGCAGTTTATCATAATTTGAGTGTTGAGTATTTGTACACAGTTTATTTCTGGAAAGGTTAAATTTTGTAAAGTTATGCATTTGAATTATGTAAACAACTTTCTTTGTGCCATAAAGAAACATTTGAATACAGTAACTGTTAAAGTAATCAAAAGAAGTTCTCTAGGTGTCATTGGGAACTTTACAACTAGTTAGGAAGTGCTGACCAGGCTGGCTAGGTAAACAAGTTGTGGGGTTTTTTCCAGAGTCTCTTCATTTTTTGTAAATATTCCATTGGCAAAATGAGGGTGGTAAGTATAAATAATGATTTGGTCTCATAGTGCTGGTTGATCACTGGTTTCCCATCCTTTTTGGGAAAAGTCTGGTCTACCTGTTCTGGTCACTGTTAAGTTGCCAAGTGAAGTCAAAATATGTGGACAATGTAATGGATGCATTGTAATGGATATATTTTTCATGAGAGAAATTTATTCTCATTACAGTTCCTACAATTGCAAGGACAGTTATCTGCAACTAGTCTTGGCAAACAAGAGTCTTCAGGTTGGTGATCCTTAGTGTTACTTAAAAGATTCCTATAGGGAAAATTTCTTTGAAACGACGGAAGAAGTGATGGGAACTTGTAATTCATGAGATATGATGTCCTTTGGATTTCGAGGGATTTCCTACAGGGAGAGGTTGCAGGGACTTCACGCTTGTGTATGACGTCCTTAACAACATTTTCCTAACTAAGAAAAACTTACTGATCCCAGTCCCCTAATTCTAGAGGAACTGAGGAGGACTACGACAGATGCACCCATGACTGATCATTTGGTAATGTAGCTAAGAGGGGAGGGGTTCAGAATGTGTGAGACCCCCCCCCCCTACCCCGTCCGTCCCCTTGATACAGGAAAAGTTTAATTTACTAAGTAAAAAATCAACTTGATTCCTCTCTCCCTCAATGCAGTTAAGACTCTAGTATAGAACTCCTTTCTACAAGAAGATCCTTTCCAAGCTATGGAATGAGGGAGGTGGGGGGGGATTTTAATTTGATCAAGATGCATGCTATCTCTAGTTATTTTTTTTAAAGAAGTTTGCGAGTTGTCGGCTCTTCTTTTTGCGATGTTATGAGAACAGAAGATCAATACAGGACGTGGATAATGAAAACACCGGAAGCTTAAAAAAAATTACCTTCGCAAAGAAATGTAAAATCCACGTTTTCCCTATCCCTCGGGAAATTCCTTTACTGAACAGTCCGTTCCCAGAGCCACTCGTTTACATTCGCCGAAGAACCTAAAAGCAAATAATTTTCTGGGAACGAGAGTATTGTCTGCCCGGTTTTGTGATGATTTCAACAAACAGAAAAGCACATTGGCAACGTTTTTCAAGCACCGGCATTTCTAGAGTATTCGCAAATTCCCAGTAAATCGGAACAGGAACTTTCATATTTCTCAGAATTGATGCCATATCTATCTAAAAATATCGAACCAATGAAATTACCGCAAATATGCATTTTATTAGTCTTTCACGTCATGCAGCGAATTCCAGAGAAAAATCGAACAGGACGAGTATTATACGTCATGCGGCAAATTCCAGAGAAGAATCAAACAGAAAGAGTGAATTTCTGAGGATTGAGAATTTACTGTGAATTACGTCTCCTTCGCAATTAAGGGATACTCTGAGCTTTTAAGTCTCACCGATCGTTTGTTGTTTTTCTGTTCATGGATAAGAACATGTAACTCGCCTAAAGGTAAGTTAAAGCTGCAGTCCTGTAGCCAAGTTTGGCAATGTTGGCATTATTGGATTGTTGCGAGACCACTCTGAAACAATCGTTTCGATCGTAAGCATGCTTTTAGCTAGAGTTACATTTAGTGATCACTATAATTACTATAATTCAAACAAAATTCGAACAGGATTCTCATTTAGATGTCTTCTTTACTTAAATTTTATATTTATATAGATACATGCCTGTATGCAAAATTTTTCAGTGTGTATATTGCATAGTATTAAATATTTATATCTGGAGTATAGTTTACAATGACGATTACGTTCCTCCCTTCTGTAACCCTTTTTTAATAATAATATGTTATATATGTTATTATTTAAATAAAGTTGTTATAAATAAATAAATTAATTATCACTAGAATTACGATAAATTGAGACGGGAATGCTCAATGTCTTATGTTTATTCAAGTTTTTGCTTTAATGCCAGAATGATCTCGGGCAGTCTAAACAAGAGTAATTCATCAGAGTAATAATAATAATAATAATAACGACTTATTGACTGTATTTCTATATGGTAGCTTTAAATCCGTCATACTAACTAAAAACTAACGACTTACATAATGCATAATGCACATAATGTTATTCAAGAAACCTTCACCATTTACATAAAGCACTTAAAAACTGTTAAACGTGGTCGATGAGCCTCAAAGAGGAACGGTAAAGAAACCGTTCGAGAACACTTTTTCAAAGTTAAATAGAAGTCCTGAGTGATTGTTATCATTTTACGGTCAACCATGAGTAAATAATTGCGAAAAAATTTGACTCAACTCTTGGAGAGCCTGTTTGGGCAGGCAGGCAGGCAGGCATAACGAGAGGGCCAAAGGTTCATCGGGTTTTTTTAATTTCAATTTTGCCCACTAATAAACTTGAGCGTACAGATCGATGACAACTGAAAAAAACTGTGGCACTAAACCTTATAATACAGCATGATTTGCCTTTTTTTGTTGATTTAATGCAGCTGGTTAATTTAAGTTTCACCAAGTAAGATGCTACAGCAAAGTACTTATTTTCACTCTCACAAAACAGATGTCACGTAACTATAAAAATTACCCGAGGGATTTACGAAGTAAGCTAAATGCTTCTTCGCACCATCGGAAGCGAAAGTCTGAACATGCCCCGCGGATGGATGACGCCCCGAAACGAAGACGAACGAGGGAAGACAAGGGTAATGTGACTCGGCCTATCAGCTTCAAAGAGTTGGAACAAATCAGCAGACAATCATCGCCAGCCTTAAAGCTCATCAGTAAAGCGGAAAGGTTCGAGGCGCTGTTGGCTTCAGAGAAGTTAAGCAACGAGGAATCGAACCCAGAGTTTCTAAAGCTGGTTATTTCTGCTTTTCATCTTCTATGCTCAGCAAACAACCTCATTGCCGAGAACGCTGACAGGATTTTACGTTCTCCCACTGCGAAGAATTTCATTGCAGGGACGGTTTTATCGAGTTTTATCAACGAAATGCCTCATGCTAACCATTGGAAAGACGAAAATGATCGTGTTTGCACAGTGGGTAATCTCACGGAAATTTTTGTCGCATTTCTTCAGAAATTTGGCAAAGATCTTGTTTACAAGCTACCACTGGCACAGCTTAACACGTCGTTGAAGGAGCTGAAAGAGATGAGCCTGGTCCAAGATATCGATCATCTTGACGAGAAGATCCAGCAATTGGAAGAATTGAGAAATGAAGCAATTCGTTGTGCAAAGTTTGCAAATGATCAGAAGTCACAAGGTGAACCACCAGAAAACTTCAGAGAGTTAAGCGTCACCCCTCAAGTAGAAGATCTAATTTCCAGACCCTTCCTTCGCGAAAACATCACCGACAGAAGGTTTAAAGACTTGGACCACTATTTAGATGTACAGTTTCGTCTCCTGAGGGAGGACTTTGTGAAACCTCTTCGTGATGGAATACATCAACTGAAAAAGAGCAGTGCCCTGGAACCTAATCATGACTACCAACTTAAACGCGCCAATGAAATTCACGTTTATCATGACGTCACCATCCAGTTTCCCGTGTGTGGCAGAAAAAGCCGACATTACAAAATTAGGTTTGACTCATCTCATCAAAAAGTAGCGCAAGTGAACTGGGAGCGAACTAAACGACTGAAGTACGGAACACTGCTTTGTCTTTCGGCAGACGACTTTAATACGCTGCTATTCGCTACAGTGGAAAATCCAGATTCCAAGGAACTTAAAGACGGACTATTGGAGGTACGTTTCGGGAACGTTAGCTCGGAGGAAGTGAACCAGTTTGTCGAGGAAAAGCAGATCTTTGTCATGATAGAGTCTCCAGCCTATTTCGAATCTTACAGACACGTGCTTGAAGCTCTCAAGGAGATAAACTCAGAGTTTCCTTTCCAGAGGCAGATTGTGGAGTGCTGCGGGGATGTCGAGCCACCTGAGTATCAAATGCAGGAAGAATACGACAGCAAGTTCAAGTTTCGTTTTGATGGCGTCTTAGATGCAAAAAGGGAGGTATATTCAGAACCTCTTGAGTTGGCTGAACAGCAGAATTCCCCATCTGCCATGGAAATTGTGCCGAATGCCTCGGCGGGTGTGGAAACACCTATGGAGAACGAGATTCCTTCAACTGTACAAGAGGGTAAGTGTACCCCAAACGACCATTGTTGGCCAGACAAGGAAAGTCTTGGGCTCAATGAATCGCAGATGCGCGCATTCAAAATGGCGCTGACCAAAAGGTTAGCCGTAATTCAAGGACCGCCAGGGACTGGAAAGACATATGTGGGTTGGAAGATTGCACGTGTTCTTTTACAAACCCTCTCTCTCTCGGAGGATGCGAAGGAACGGACACCAATCTTAATGGTGTCCTATACAAATCACGCCTTGGACCAGTTTCTGGAAGGAGTCCTGTCAACAACGAAAAGTAAGATGTGTTTCATTTTTTTATTATTATTATTATTATTATTATTATTATTATTGAAGCCAGTGGCGATTACTATAAACTCTACCTTCCCTGAAAAAAGGAATCAAGATAAATATTATGTCTTGCTTTGTAGAACTAAGGAGGGTTCTTTTTCAAGAACATCGTTATCCACTGAACAATTTTCCATTGTTGTTTCCAACTAATTTGTGAAAGTTTAGTCCCAGCAATGACCCTCCATCGGGTCAAAATTTTAAATTCTTTTAAAAGAATTATTGTTTTATCTAGTTACTCGGCAAATACTTAAAGTAAAGCTGACTAAGTTTTCTGTGTTTTTTTTTTAGATGTCATTCGTGTTGGTGGCCGTAAAATTAGCGGAAAACTTGAAAATTATTCCTTGAAGAACCTTCGTAGGGAAATGCGTTGGAAAAAAGTGGTTCCAGATGAAATTTACAGAGCCAGATTAAAGACTGAAGAAGACACTGTGAAGCAAAAGTTCTTCTCCGAAAGTTCTTTCGATATTTTACGAAGTTTGAGAACCAGCGTGGTGTCCATGAAAGTCCTTGGTCATCATGATTATGCGCTAAAAGTACATTACTCCCAACTTAGTGAGACTGGACCGGAATCAATTGACGAAGCTCTTCTCGACTGGCTGCGAATTAAAAGGCGAGATGAACGTAAACAAGAATTCCCTCTTTATGGCAATTTGGAGGGGGAAGCGTATGGACATGGCTATGGTGCAGCTTTTGACAACGAGCCCATTCATGACAAAGATCTCAGCGACATCGCTCATAAAGTAGCAATCCTCTCGCCAGAAGACGCGACCTACCCTAAGGAGGTACAACGAAATATTTTAAGTGAAGAGCTCATGACAGGAGACGAGGAGATGTATCTTGATGATATTTACCGGTTGAACACAAAAGATCGCTGGAGACTTTACAGGCTGTGGAGAAAGAGGGCAGAGGAACATCATGAAAAGCTCTTCAAAACGAGGCAAGGCGAGTATGATCAAGCGGTAGAAAGAGAGCAGGAGATCACTAGAATGGAAGAATACGAAATTCTTTGCAAAGCATGTGTCATTGGCATGACGACCACGTGTGCCGCAAAATACCGCAGCATTCTCAAGGAGATCCGCCCCAGGATCGTCATAGTCGAGGAAGCCGCTGAAGTACTGGAGGCTCACATCATTGCGTCATTGACCCCAGGCTGTCAGCATTTGATTTTAATCGGTGATCATCAGCAGCTGAGGCCCACCCCCGCAGTCCATGATTTAGCCAAGAGGTACAAGTTGGATGTGTCCCTGTTTGAGCGGATGGTGAATGTTGGAATTCAGTGTGAGATGCTAAACGTACAGCATCGTATGAGACCTGAAATTGCTACCTTGATGAAACACATTTATAACGATCTCGAGAATCACGAGTCGGTGGAGAAATATGAAGATATCAAAGGAATGAAGAAGAATATGTTCTTTATCAACCACAAATATATGGAAGAGTCTAGTAATCAGTCGCACAGCCATGTGAATGGGCACGAAGCCAAGTTTTTGGTCGCGCTATGTCGATATTTATTACAGCAAGGATACAAAGCCGATCAAATTGCCCTACTGACAACCTACACGGGACAGATGTACGCCATAAGAGACTGCCTTCAAGAAGAAGATGCCATCAGAGAATCTCTTAGGGCTGAAAACGATCCATCCGTCGGAGGTGTGCGTGTAACAACAGTTGACAACTTCCAAGGTGAAGAAAACGACATCATCCTTCTCTCTCTCGTGCGCAGTAACAAAGATGAGAAAGTCGGATTCATCAAGATTGTCAACCGGGCATGCGTTGCTCTCTCGCGTGCAAGAAAAGGTTTCTACTGCATTGGAAATTTTGGCCTTCTCTCAAAACACAGTGAAATTTGGAGGAAGATTGTTACAGATTTGAAAGCTAGTAGCAGTATTGGAAACGCCTTGCCCGTCGTTTGCCAATCCACAACGATGAAATCAGCGTTAAAACAGCAGAAGATTTTAACACAAAAGTTCCCATGGGAGGGTGTCAACGACCATGCGCGGTGCGCCTGAAATGCGGTCATGCGTGCACGTTGGAATGTCATCCTTGTGATAAAGATCACGTGGAATTTCGCTGTCAAAAACCCTGTGAAAAGGAAAGGGCAAGATGTGACCACACGTGCCCAAAGCGTTGCTGGGAGGTCTGTGAGCAAAATTGTGAAATAGAGGTTGAGAAACAGTTGCCATTCTGTGGTCACACTATGTTAGTAAGATGTGACACTAATCCCATAATGATTAAATGCATAAAACAGTGTGAGAAGTACCTTCCATGTGGTCACAGATGTCAAAGAAAATGCGGAGAAAGCTGCACGAAGAAATGCCACGAGACCGTCAAGAAAACCGATTGGCCTTGTGGACATCTCGTCTCTATCGCCTGCTCGGCAACTCCTAATGATTGTTCTCATCCTTGTGAAGCCACGTTAGAATGTGGTCACACGTGCTCTGGTACTTGTGGCGAGTGTCGCATGGGTCGTATTCACAAGCGATGCAAGAAGCATTGTGGTCGTGTTCTGATTTGTTCCCATTCGTGCATGTCGTGTTGTAAAGAGTCGTGTCCACCGTGTAGCGCAAAGTGTGAAAACCTGTGTGGGCACAGTGAATGCCCAGAAAAGTGTGGAGAGCCGTGTATACCTTGCCACGAGGAATGTCTTTGGAATTGTCCTCATCACGCTTGTGCCAAGAAGTGCAGTGAGATGTGTTAAAGACCAAGATGTGACGAACCATGCAACCAAGTATTGTCTTGTGGCCACGATTGCTGTGGTTTGTGCAAAGAAGAGTGCATTTGTGCTGAATGTACTCCAGTAAGAGAGATTTTCTTCGGGGAGGAGGAAAACGAATCTGCTCGGTTCATCAAGCTTCCAGACTGCCAGCATGTCTTTGAAGTAACTGGCCTGGATAGGTATGAAGTAACAGTATGCTTTAAGTATAAGAAAAAGCAATAGGATTATACCTATCATCCACGCACTTAGGTATACATTCTTTGACTTATCAAGGCGACAACCAGGAAAAGGTCACGTATGTCTCCCTCTTTTGTTCGAAGAGAAATTTCATAGTTCGACTGTGGTGCTGATAGTAGCCTTGAAGCAGAGGTTGGAAGGGAGAGGGTGGGGTCGTGTTATTTTTATTACCATTATTGCATATAATACTGATTGACACCGAATGATTGGAAAAACTTGGGCGCATATCGAGACAGGTTTTTGCGAGTTTCACACTGGCCACTGGGAAAGCTTGCATGACTTTCCTGTCTTTTGGCTCTTAAAACGTTCCCCGTGTAATGTCTGTGTCATTCTATTCGTGACTTGCGGAGAGAAGAGACATTACAAAGGGTGGAGAATGTATCTCTCTTAAATATGTTTAAATGAGGCTATGTAAACACGAGAACGATCTCCATTTAAGATGTTTGAAAAGATACGCGGGTAAACGTCTTAACAGTGTCTACATACGGGCTCTCATCTCAACACACTTATCGATCAGCGAGGGTGCACACTGTTTCTAGGCTAGTTCAAATTGCCAGTCTTCTTCTCATGTGATTTTACATTAAACGGTACATGTCTCTGTACAGAGCTGTGCAGGATATTAGTGCGAGTCACTTTTAGTGATGCCTAATTTTTCTTCTTGTTCGAAGGTGGATGGACCAAAATGATGGTGTGATTAAGCGAAAGCAGTGTCCGCGGTGTAATACGCCAGTCCGCAAGAGCCTGCGATACGGAAATGTCATCAAACAGCAGCGACAAGATATCGAGCGAGTGAAAAGAGAATTGATGGGAAACAAGACGGAATTGGAAAAGAAGAAAAGAAGCCTGTTCTTTCGTGCCTGTGAGATGTTAAAGACGGTTGACCAAAGTGTCAAAGCATACTTGGAAAAACGGAAAAACAGCATAATGAAAACAACAAAGTCTGAGATGATAGCCGCAATCATTGAAAACCAGCTGATGTTGATACAGCGTTTGCACTCGGCAGGAAAGAAAATGCAAAGCGTTCTAGGAACGGTGTCTCCAGAGGACTGCTCTGAAAAGAAGTTACAGCGTAAGTTGAGATTTTAACACCAAAGCATTTTAAGTATTTGATCAATGAGCTTACTGTATTTATGAGAATCCAAGCTCTGCAATTTCACTAAACTTGACATGCAGCTTCCAAAAAGCTTAACAAGTTCGTCTGTATTATCAACAGACCAGCGATTAACCGAGGAGCTTGGCTACCTAAAGAAGCGGCTTCTGTCTGACAGGGTAGGGCATCTAGAGCTACAAGACATAAACACCGAATTCTCGAGACTCAATCTTCAACTGGAGCTCTATTCGCTGAACCGTGACATCAGGAGCCTCGAAGTGGAGTTAGACGAACCTTCCCGCCAAATGATGACTGCAATACAAAAGGAACTGTCCGGCGGTCAGCGCATAGCAGACGAAGAACTGGATAAACTAGTGAATGACATTACAACTATACGGTTTGTTTTAAACCCTAGAGGGAAATGTCCTCAAACAATAACATTTCGACTCAAAAAATGACGTTCCCTTGCAGAAAGGAATTTTGTAAGGATCGCTCGAGCTTAATGACTGAAAAGTTTTTAAAGATATTCAGCGATACTCGAACCTTGATGTGCTCCACGACATAAGTAGTATTTAAAAGAGAATGAGCTTATTGAATCGACTTCTGCATTTTGGTAATTTTTGTTAAGGTATCATCAGACTCATTGTAACTCATGCCTAGGCTTCATCGTGAAGATAGAAGAGCTTTTCCAAAAGAGTGTGTCTGAAGTAATTTTCAAAGAAACTTATGGTGGCTGGTTATTTTAGTTACGCAGTTATTTTGCTCAAAGTGAGATACTATTATGGGACTTGAGACTGAAAAATTGTTTCTTGTCTAGGACATCCAATCCCCGCTTTAAAAAATTGACGCCAGAAGAAAAAGAACAGATCGTGACTGCCATGAACCTTAAACCCGGTCATTGGTTCAAATGTCCCCAGGGACATATCTACGTCATTACCGAGTGTGGCGGCGCTATGGAGAAAAGCATGTGTCCTGATTGCGGAGCTGTGATTGGTGGAGAAAATCACGATCTTGTAGAAGACAACCAATTAGCGTCTGAGATGGATGGTGCAAAGTACCCTGCCTGGTCTGAACATGCAAACTTAGCTAACTATGGAAACTTAGATGAAATAGTGTGACTTTTTCGTTACTAGAGCTCACTTAGATTGAGTGTCGTTCGAAGAAAACCACGTTTATCATAATAGCCATTCAGCAATGTAGAAAAATTTTAGAAGCCAGCGAGAATACAAATGAAAAGTGCGGGAAAACAAGTGACTACGTCGTGACCGATTTTAGTTTTGCATTTGATTGGATATGAAGTTGGCTCGAGTTTTCTAAAGCAATCAAAGAGCGAAGTAAGGCAAAAGCAATGTAGTCCCTGATCACATCTGACACTCATTGAAATTTTGTCAAGATGAATAATCCATAAAACTATTATATTGCTTTGATTTATAGCTTTTGATGGTGATAGGCAAATTAATTATTTTTCCTGACGGCAATATTTCAGTGAAACATTCTTTTGGTAACTTGCAAGGAATATTTTATGACTTGATTCCAAAGTTCATCTTATATTGACCGTAAGTAACAAAACTTTATAGGAATAACGTGTAATAGCCTGTTATTCCAATCTTTTTTCTCTCTTTTTTTTCTACAATAATCAAGGCACAGTGATTTAAAGATAAGAGCTTAGACACGAATAGTCCATAGAACTCATTATTAGAAAAGCTATATGATAAACAGCTGTAACAATAGCGTGACCGGAAGTGAGAGGGGGGGGGGCATAAGTGCCCCCGACATCCTTTCTTAGATGATTTTTTTTTTAGTCAACAACATAAAAATCTAATGATTCAGGTAAAGAAAATTGCTGGATGTGTAGAGAGGCGGCTCTCTCCCCTCCCCCTCCCCCTCCCTCTTTTAGAAATGTTAACTATGCCTCATTCTGGGGTAAACGTCTCTTTAGTGCATGTTTAAATTCGTAATGGATTCTGTCGTGGTAATGTTAACCAAAAGTATTCAGATTGGCAGGCCATTTCGAGGAAATTAAAACTTTCTTCATCATCTCAAATCCAAGTTGATTACTGATTAAAATAATTCGAGAGGTACCTGATATTGTTAGACATAGAGTCTGCTATAAAGGAAGGGTTCTGTGTACATGTTATTTGTTGTTTTATAGATTTGTAATGGTAATAGGACTGAGTGGAATTCAATTTGGTTTGCAATCATATGAGTGATAACAAATGGGATGACTGCGTAAAAAATTTAAATTTCCAAGAAAAGAAGAATATCCATGTTATGAAAGAAAGGGAAAATTTGCATGAACCCTTTAACTACCAGTGGTGATTACCATGTAACTTCTCCCAATAGTATTCATATATTATACAGCAAACAGGTAATGAGAACACTCAAACTCATCAGGTACAATTTATTACCTTGATTGAACACCTGATTCTCATAATTAATTTACAAGGAAATTTGTAGTAGCTGGAGGGGAGAATTGATGATCAGATCTTGGGAGTTAAAGGGTTAATTAATGGACTTGTAGTTCTGATCACATCAAAATAAGGGTTTTTTATCAGGGCTATTATGAAATTCCCTGGTGTTTTGGAAAAGGTTGATTATAAGGCCTTACATTTAACCCTTTAACTCCCAGAAGTAATCAGCATATAACTTCTCCCTATCATATCCTCACCTCATCCAACAAACAGATCATGGGAAAACTCAAACTTATCTGGTAGAAGTTGTTAATGTAACACTAAATTCTCATTGCTAATTTACAAAGAAATGTGTAGCTTCTAGAAGGGAAAATCAAAAATCAGATCTTGGGAGTTAAAGAGTTAAAAACCAACATTTAGTGATGTTCCTTTTTGAGTTTGTGTCTTGTAGTTCTGATCACTTCAAAATTAGTTTTTTTCTCAGAGCTAAAATGGAATTCCCTGATGATTAAGAAAAGATTGATTGTAAAAGATTGTAAACTTTTTGAGTTTGTCTTGTATTTACAACTATAAATGGGTTAATGTCTGGGTTTAAAAAAGAAATGTTTTCTACTGGGTTAGTTTAAATATTTTGGGTCTCAAATTACAAAGTGAATGATAGGAAGATATTAAATATTTGATTAAGGCTACATGATGTTCTTCTTAAACTTGGAATTTCTAAAGGATAGATTTTACTAATACTAATAAAATATTAAATTCTCAATGATATTTTAGGCTGTGTATCATAAGTGTTGAGTATTTTTACACACTTTATTTCTGAAAGGGTTAAATTTTGTAAAGTTATGCATTTGAAATCATGAATTATGTAAATGGCTCTCTCTGTGCAATCAAAGAAAAAAGTGAATACAGTTACTGTTAGTATCAAAAAAAGTTCTTGAGGTGTCAATGGGCACTTTACAACTAGTCAAGATGTGCAGACCAGACTGGCTAGGTAAACAAGTTGTCAACAGGGTTTTTTCCAGAGTCCCTTGACTTTTTGTAAATATTCCACTGGCATGAAGAGGCTGGTAAGTATGATAATTTGGTCACACAGTACTCGTTGATCACAGGTTTCTCATCCTGTTAAAACAATTCTGGTCTCCCTGTTCTGGTTACTGTGATAAGTGCCCAAGTAAAGTCAAAATATGTGGGTAATGTCCACCATATGGTGATATTGTTCTTATGAGAAATTTTTTCTTATTACAGTTTCTACAATTGCAGGGACAAGTCCCTGCAACTAGTCTTGGCATACAAGAGTCCACAGGTTAGTGATCCTTAGAGTTCACTAAAAGTTTTCTTTGAGGAAAATTTCTTTGAATTGATGAAAGAAGTGATTGGAACTTGTAATTCACAAGATATGATGTCCTTTGTATTTCAAGTGTGTACTGCAGGATGAAGTTGCAGGGACTTCCCCCTTGTGTATGACATCCTTATCAACATTTATTCCTAACTGAGAGAAACTTATCCCAGTCCCTGAATTCTTGAGGAACTGAGGAAGACTGAGACAGATATGCCCATAACAGACCATTTGGTAGTGTAAGTAAGAGGGGAGGGGTTCAAAATATGTGGAACCCTGCCCACCCCCCTTCCCCTTCCCCTTCCCCCATCTCCCTCCTTCTCAAGGAAAAGTGTAACTTACAAAGTGCAAAAAAAAAACAACAACAACAACGTCACCTCCACCAAAATGTAAATAAGACTTAAATATAGGACTCCTCTCTATAGGAGGATCCTTTCTCAATCATGAAATGAGAAGGTTGTGCGGGGAATTTCATTTAATTTCAATGAATGTATGGAAAGCTGACAAAAGTTACACTGACACAAAAATATGAATAATAAGAATATTGACTGGCCATCTATTTTGGTCACAATGCCTAGGAAATTTTCACTTCCGTCACTCACTGAAGGAAAATTTTCCACCTGGAAGTGGATTATAGCACCATGGCAACAATTTCCAAGCACTGACTTTTGATTCGCATGAAAGTGGAACAAGAACGGAGATATTTCTCAGAATCGATGAAGAATGTGTCTAAAAATAACAGACCTATAAAAATACCGAAAATATGCATTTTGTCAAGTGTTTCTCGCCAGGTGGCCGGACGAGACCATTTTTGCATTAATTATCGTAAGGACTACAAGGCGTACCGGAAGTAGAATCTCAAATGCCAGAGGCGATATAATGTTGTTCGTGTCCATAATTCTTAAACCTTTTCCTCATTCCCCGACACAGAATGAATCAGTTTGGTGGTGATGGTTTTGTTAACTTCTATTTAGAAATATATGTTTGTAAAATTAAAATTTCTTCTAAGAATTCTCAGAAACCGGAGAGAAACAGAACTGTTTCTCAGAATCGATGACGCACAAGTGTTTGAATAACAGACCAATCACATGGCAGAAGTTTCACATTTTTGACATCCTTAATTACTGTACTTCCAATCCATTGACTTTGTTGATTTCCGCAGCTGAAGAGCAATTTGCGGAAACTAGTATAGCACGCAAAATTTTCCTCGTGAAACAAAGTTGACCTCAGCTTGGCTTCCATGACGTTTTGAACTTGTAATTTCAAGGTAGGTTTTTTAAAAACTTTGGTGATGCTGTTAATCAGGATCTCTTCTAGAATCGCTCGAGGAATGTTTGTACTAAATTCTCCAAGAACCTGCAAAACTGACCAACAGCCTTCGAGCAACTAAATGATACGTTCGAGGAAACATTATTGACTCAGATATAGCCGTTTTAAAGAGCTTTGTACTTCTGTGAAATACCAAAATGTGTGGATTGAATCTATATATTGGGCTGTCTCTAAAAGCTTACCGATAACGATCATTAGTTTCGTTTCAATCCTTTCTTCAGGTTTCATCAATTCCTCTTAAGAAGAGATGCTTTTAAACCTTGAACGCTCTACAGAAAAGGGATTGTTTTAACTCGTAGTCAATACTTATTTTTTTATTCATAATCTTTGAAAACTTCGCCTTTTAAACTGGATTCGATTAAGTTCACATCTTATAAACCACTGGCGCATGAAAGTTACGGGGAACGCATCTATTGTATCCGCAATTGTTCCAGCAACTTCATTAAATTGACCAAACTTTTAGGCGAAAATTTTGTGAGACATTGACATTTTTTATCAGACTGTTGCCCTTTACACCGCGGCATATTATAGAGACTATCATAGCAAAACTTTTGTTTACATCAGATTAAAGTCGAAAGTTGATAGTCAAATAAGAACAATTATGCATTGTTCAAATAATGTTTTTTTTGGTAGAGAGTCCAACATTCACTTCGCTAAAATTTGCGTTATCTAGTTTGTGTAGTAAAGAGTTAATTTCGCAGTGACATCGCTTTGACATCTTATTGCAGTCTTTTCTTTCATAAATTATTTTTAGAGCTTATACCACCCGTTGTTGGGAAATTCTGTGAGTGCCGAATTCAACTTGATTAACTTTGTCCGGTTCCCTGTCTCAATACTCTTTTGCAATTACTGTGAGCGTTATAAACAGGTTCTTTTCTCTTTTTCCTTAATTTACGTCACTTGTGTCCAAAACATGAAGCAGGGTACCCCTGTTTTCATAATACGTTGGTATGAATTAGTGTTTCTGCTCACCTTCTCACTTTCACAAAACAGATGTCAAGTTACTATGAAAATTACCCGAGGGATTTACGAAGTAAGTTCGATGCTTCTTCGCACAATCGGAAGCGAAAGTTCGAACATGTCCCGAGGATGGATGACGCCCCGAAACGAAGACGAGCAAGGGAAGACAAGGGCAATGTGACTCGGCCTATCAGCTTCAAAGAGTTGGAACAAATCAGCAGAGAATCATCGCCAGCTTTAAAGCTCATCAATGAAGCGGAAAGGTTCGAGGCGCTGTTGGCTTCAGAGAAGTTAAGCAACGAAGAATCGAACCCAGAGTTTCTAAAGCTGGTTATTTCTGCTTTTTATCTTCTATGCTCAGCAAACAATCTCATCGCCGAAAACGTCGACAGGATTTTACGTTCTCCCACTGCAAAGAATTTCATTGCAGGAACGGTTTTATCGAGTTTTATCAACGAAATGCCTCATGCTAACCATTGGAAAGACGAAAATGATCGTTTTTGCACAGTGAGTAATCTGACGGTAATTTTTGTCACATTTCTTCAGAAATTTGGTAAAGATCTTGTTTACAAGCTACCACTGGCACAGCTTAGCACTTCGGTGAAGGAGCTAAAAGAGTTGAATCTGGTTCAAGACGTCGATCATCTTGACGAGAAGATCCAGCAATTGGAAGAATTGAGAAGTGAAGCAATTCGTTGTGCAAAGTTTGCAAATGATCAGAAGTCACAAGGTGAACCACCAGAAAACTTCAGAGAGTTAAGCGTCATCCCTCAAGTAGAAGATCTAATTGCCAGACCCTTCCTTCGCGAAAACATCACCGACAGAAGGTTTAAAGACTTGGACCACTATCTAGATGTGCAGTTTCGTCTCCTGAGGGAGGACTTTGTGAAACCTCTTCGTGATGGAATACATCAACTGAAAAAGAGCAGTGCCCTGGAACCTAATCATGAATACAAACTTAAACGCGCCAATGAAATTCATGTTTATCATGACGTCACCATCCAGTTTCCCGTATGTGGTAGAAAAAGCCGACTTTACAAAATCAGGTTTGACTCATCTCATCAAAAAGTAGCGCGAGTGAACTGGGATCGAACTAAGCGACTGAAATATGGAACACTGCTTTGTCTTTCAGCAGACGACTTTAATACGCTGGTATTCGCTACCGTGGAAAATCCAGATTCTAAGGAACTTAAGGAAGGACTATTGGAGGTACGTTTCGGGAACATTAGCTCGGAGGAGGTGAACCAGTTTCTTGAGGAAAAGCAGATTTTTGTCATGATAGAGTCTCCAGCCTATTTTGAATCTTACAGACACGTGCTTGAAGCTCTCAAGGAGATAAATTCTCAATTTCCTTTCCAGAAGCAGATTGTGGAGTGCTGCGGGGATGTCGAGCCACCTGAGTATCAAATCCAAGAAGAAAACGACAGCAAGTTCAAGTTTCATTTTGATGGCGTCTTAGATGCAAAAAGGGAGGCATATTCAGAACTTCCTGAGTTGGCTGAACAGCAGGATTTCCCATCTACCATGGAAATTGTGTCGGATGCCTCGGCGGGTGTGGAAATATCTCTGGAGAACGAAATCCCATCAGCTTTACAAGAGTGCCAGTGCACCCCAAACGACCATTGTTGGCCAGACAGGGAGAGTCTCGGGCTCAATGAATCGCAGATGCGCGCATTCAAAATGGCGCTGACCAAAAGGTTAGCCGTAATTCAAGGGCCCCCAGGGACTGGGAAGACATATGTGGGTTGGAAGATTGCACGTGTTCTTTTACAGACCCCCTCTCTCTGGGAGGATGAGAAGGAACGGAAACCAATCTTAATGGTGTCCTACACAAATCACGCCTTGGACCAGTTTTTGGAAGGAGTCCTGTCAACAACGAAAAGTGAGATGTGTTTGATATTATTATCATTATTATTATTATTATTATTATTATTATTATTGAAGCCAGTGGCGATCAATATAAACTCTACCTTCCCTAGAAAAAAGAATCCAGATTTACGGCAAATGATAAATATTATGTCCTGCATTGTAGAAGTAAGGATGGTTCTTTTTTGAGAACATCGTGATCCACTGAACAGTTTTCCATTGTTGTCGCCAACTAATTTGTGAAAGTTAAGTCCCAGCAATGAGTCTCCATCGAGTTTAAATTTTAAATTCTTTTAAAAGAATTATTGTTTTATCTAGTTACTCAGCAAATACCTTAAATAAAGCTGACTAAGTTTTTTCTCTGTCATTTTTAGATGTCATTCGTGTTGGTGGCCGTAAAATTAGCGGAAAACTTGAAAATTATTCCTTGAAGAACCTTCGCTGGAAAATACGTTGGAAAAAAGTGGTTCCAGATGAAATTTACAGAGCCAGATTGAAGACTGAAAATGACACTAAGGGGCAAAAATTCTTCTCCAAAAGATCTTTCGCTATTTTACGAAGTTTGAGAACCAGCGTGGTGTCCATGAAAGTCCTTGGTCATCATGATTATGCGCTGAAAGCACATTACTCCCAACTTGATGAAGAAGCTGGACCGAAATCAATTGACGAAGCTCTTCTCGACTGGCTGCGAATTAATAGGCGAGATAAACGTGAACAAGAATTCCCTCTTTATGGCGATTTGGATGGAGAAGTATATGGTTATGGCTATGATGCAGATTTTGACAACGAGCCTTTTGACGACAAAGACCTCAACCACATGGCTCATAGCAATGAAATAGCAATCCTCTCGCCTGAAGACACGACCTACCCTGAGGAGATAAGACGAAATATTTTAAGTGAAGAGTTCATGACAGGAGACGAGGAGATGCATCTGGATGATATTTACCGGTTGGAAACAAAAGATCGCTGGAGACTTTACAGGCTGTGGAGAAAGAGGGCAGAGGAATATCATCAGAAGCTCTTCCTAACGAGGCAAAACGAGTATGATCAAGCTGTAGAAAGAGAGCAGGAGATCATTAGAATGGAAGAATACGAAGTTCTGCGTGAGGCATGTGTCATTGGCATGACGACCACGTGTGCCGCAAAATACCGCAGCATTCTCAAGGAGATCCGCCCCAGGATCGTCATAGTCGAAGAAGCCGCTGAAGTACTGGAGGCTCACATCATTGCGTCATTGACCTCAGGCTGTCAGCATTTGATTTTAATCGGTGATCATCAGCAGCTGAGACCCACCCCCGCAGTCTATGATTTAGCCAAGAGGTACAAGTTGGATGTGTCCCTGTTTGAGCGAATGGTGAATGTTGGAATTCAGTGTGAGACGCTAAACGTACAGCATCGTATGAGACCTGAAATCTCTGCCTTGATGAAACACATTTATGACGATCTAGAGAATCACGAGTCGGTGGAGAAATATGAAGATATCAAAGGAATGAAAAAGAACATGTTCTTTATCAATCACAACTACATGGAAGATTCTTGTAATCAGTCGCACAGCCACGTGAATGAGCACGAAGCCAAGTTTTTGGTCGCGCTATGTCGACATTTAATGCAGCAAGGATACAAAGCCGATCAAATTACCCTGCTGACAACCTACACGGGACAGATGTACGCCATTAGAGACTGCCTTCAAGAAGAAGATGCTATCAAGGAACCCCTTAAACCTGAAAACGATTCATCCTTCAGAGGTGTGCGTGTGACAACAGTTGACAACTTCCAAGGTGAAGAAAACGACATCATCCTTCTGTCGCTCGTGCGCAGTAACAAAGATGAGAAAGTCGGATTCATCAAGATTGTTAACCGCGCATGCGTTGCTCTTTCGCGTGCAAGAAAAGGTTTCTACTGCATTGGAAATTTTGGACTTCTCTCAAAACACAGTGACATTTGGAAGAAGATTGTTACAGATTTGAAAGCTAGTAGCAGTATTGGAAACGTCTTGCCCGTCGTTTGTCAAATCCATAACGATGAAATCAGTGTTAAAACAGCAGAAGATTTTAATACAAAAGTTCCCATGGGAGGGTGTCAACGACCATGTGCGGTGCGCCTGAAATGCGGTCATGCGTGCCCGTTGGCATGTCATCCTTCTGACAGAGATCACGTGGAATTTCGCTGTCAAAAACCCTGTGAAAAGAAAAGGGCAAGATGTGACCATACGTGCCCAAAGCGTTGCTGGGAGGTCTGTGAGCAAAACTGTGAAATAGAGGTTGAGAAAGAGTTGCCAATCTGTGGTCACACTATGCTGGTAAGATGTGACACTAATCCCGTGATGCTGAAATGCCAAAAACGGTGTGAGAAGGACCTTTCATGTGGTCATAGATGTCAAAGCAAATGTGGAGAAAGCTGCACGGAGAAATGCCGCGAGATTGTCAAGAAAACCGATTGGCCTTGTGGACATCTAGTCTCTATCGCCTGCTCGGCAACTCCTAATGATTGTTTTCATCCTTGCGAAGCCACGTTGGAATGTGGTCACGCGTGCTCTGGTACTTGTGGCGAGTGTCGCATGGGTCGTATTCACAAACGATGCAAGCTGCATTGTGGTCGTGTTCTGATTTGTTCCCATTCGTGCATGTCGCGTTGTAAAGAGTCGTGTCCGCCGTGTAGCGCGAAGTGTGAAAACTTGTGCGGGCACAGTGAATGCCCAGAAAAGTGTGGAGAGCCGTGTACACCTTGCCAAGAGGAATGTCTTTGGAAGTGTCCTCATCACGCTTGTACCAAGAAGTGCAGTGAGATGTGTGAAAGACCAAGATGTAACGAACCATGCAACCAAGTATTGTCTTGTGGCCACGACTGCTGTGGTTTGTGCAAAGAAGAGTGCATTTGTGCTGAGTGTACTCCAGTGAGAGAGATTTTCTTCGGAACGGAGGAAAACGAATCTGCTCGGTTCCTCAAGCTTCCAGACTGCCAGCATGTCTTTGAAGTAACTTGCCTGGATAGGTATGAACTAACATTATGCTGTACATATTAGAAAAAGCAATAGGATCATACCTATCATCCACGCGCTTAGGTATACATTCGTGGACTTGTCAAGTTGACAACCAAGGAAAGGTTAGTTATGTCTCCCCCTTTCGTTCGGTAAGGAATTTCATCGTTCGACTGTTGTGCTGATAGTAGCCTAGTAGTCGATGTTTGAAGGGAGGTGGGGTTGTGTTATTTTTATTACCATTATTACATATGATACTGATTGACACCTAGTGCTTGCAAAAACTTGGGCGCCTATTGAGACAGGTTTTTGCAAATGATGAGCTTTGTGAACACGAGAACGATCTCTATTTAAAGATGTTTCTGACAAAACTTAAACGTCTTAACCGTGTCTACATACCGGCTCTCATCTCAACACACTTATCGACTAACGAGGGTGCACGTTGTATTTAGGCTATTTTCAGTGTCGGTCTTCTTCTCGTGTGATTTTATATTAAACGGGACATGTCGCTGTGCAGAGTTATGCTGGATATTAATGCGAGCCATTTATGATGATGAATTCTTATATCAATTTTTCTTCTTGTTCAAAGATGGATGGACCAAGATGATGGTGTGATTAGGCGAAAGCAGTGTCCGCGATGTAATACACCAGTCCGCAAGAGCCTGCGATACGGAAATGTCATCAAACAGCAGCGACAAGATATCGAGCGAGTGAAAAGAGAATTGATGGGAAACAAGACAGAATTGGAAAGGAAGAAAAGAAGACTGTTCGTTCGTGCTAGTGAGATGTTAAAGACGGTTGACCAAAGTGTCAAAGCATACTTAGAAAAACGGAAAAACAGTATATGGGAAACAATGAAATCTGAGATGATAGCCGCGATCATTGAAAACCAGCTCATGCTGGTTCAGCGTTTGGACTCGACAGGAAAGAAAATGCAAAGCGTTCTAGGAACGGTGTATCCAGAGAACTGCTCTGAAAAGAAGTTACAGCGTAAGTTGAGATTTTAACACCAAAGTATTTTAAGTATTTGATCAAAGAGCTCAGTGTATTTATGAGAATTCAAGCTCTGAAATTTCACTAAATTTGATATACAGCTTCCAAAAAGCTTACCAAGATCGTCTGTATTATCAACAGGCCAGCGAATGACCGAGGAGCTGAGCTACCTAAAGAAGCGGCTCCTGTCTGACAGAGTAGGGCAGCTAGAGCTGCGAGACATTAACACCGAATTCTCGAGACTCAATCTTCAACTGGAGCTGTATTCGCTGAACTGTGACATCAGGAGCCTGAAAGTGGAGTTAGACGAACCTTCCCGCCAAATGATGACTGCAATACAAAAGGAACTTTCCGGCGGTCAACGCATAGCAGACGAAGAACTGGATAAACTAGTGAATAACATTGCAACTATACGGTACGTTTTAAGTCCTAGGAGGAATATGTCTTCAAATAATAAAATTTCGACTCAAAAAACGACGTTCTCCTGCAAAAAGTAATGTTGTGAGGATCGCTTGAGCTTAATGACTGAAAAGTTTTTTAAAGATATTCCACGGTGCCCGAACCTTGTTGCGCTCCACGACACAAGTAGTATTTAGAAGAGAATGAGCTTAATGAATCGACTCCTACATTTTGGTAATTCTTGTCGGGGTATTTTCAGACTCAATGTAACACATGTCCAGGCTTCGTCATGAAGATAGAAAAGCTTATCAAAAAGAGTGTGTTTGAACTAATTTTTCAAGAAATTTATGGGGGTTGATTAGTTACGGCAGTTATTTTGCTCAAAGTGAGAGACTATTATGGGACTTGAGACTGAAAAATTGTTTCTTGTCTAGGACAACCAATCCCCGCTTAAACAAATTGACGCCAGAAGAAAAAAAACAGATTGTGACTGCCATGAACCTTAAACCCGGGCATTGGCACAAATGTCCCCAGGGACATATCTACGTCATTACAGAGTGTGGCGGCGCTATGGAGAAAAGCAAGTGTCCTGATTGCGGAGCTGTGATTGGTGGAGAAAATCACAAACTTGCACAAGACAACCAATTGGCGACTGAGATGGATGGTGCAAGGTACTCGGCCTGGTCTGAACAGGCAAACTTAGCTAACTATGGAAACTTAGATGAAATAGTATGACTTTTTATGTTAATAGAGCCCATTAAGACTGGGTGTCGTTCGAAGAAAACCACGTTTATCATGATAGTCATTCAGAAAGGTAGAGTAATGTTAGAAGCTGGCGGGAACGCAAATGAAAAGCGCGGGAAAACGAGAGTGACTGATTTTAGTTTTGCACTCGAATGGTTTAGAGGTTGGCTCGAGTTTTCTAAAGCAATCAAGGAGCGAATTAAGGCAAAAGTAATGTAGTCCAAGATCACATCTGACACTCAGTTGAAACGGCGTCAAGATAAATCATCCATAAAACTATTTTATTGCTTTGATTTATAGCTTCTGATGGTGATAGGCAAATTAATTATTTTTACTGACGATCATATTACAGTAATAGGTTTTTTTTTAGTAACTTCCAAAGTTCATCTGATTTTGATAGGATTACAGTAGTCAAGGCTTAGTAATTTGAAGATAAGAGCTCAGACACGTAGAACTCATTTTTAGAAAAGAAATAAGACAGTTATAACAGTGACGTGGCCGGAAGGAGGGGTCAAGATGCTCCTAACATTTATTCTTAGATTATTTTTTCTCTTAGTTGGCAACATGCATCGTAGTCAGGTGGGTACCCTGGGTGTGTGGAGAGACAGTTCTCACCCGCCCAACCCCCCCCCCTTTAAGAATCTTAACTATGCCTCTTTCTGGGGTAAAGTCTCTTTAGTGCATGTTTCAATTCATAATAGATTCTGTTGTGGCAATGTTAGCCACAAGTATTCAGATCGACGGGCCATTTTGGGGGAATTAAAACTTTTCTCTTCGCCTCGAATCGAAGTTGATTACTGATTAAAATAATTCGAGAAGTACCTGATATTGTTAGACATAGAGTCTACTATAAAGGAAGGGTGCTGTGTACATGATATTTGTTGTTCTATGGATCTGTAATGGTAATAGGACTGAGTGGAATCCAATTCGGTCTGTATTCATACGAGTGATAACAAACCGGACTAGAGCACAAGAAAAATTAAAATTTCCGAGAAAAGAAGAATGACCAAGTAAGGGAAAAAAGAAAAAATTTGTATTAAAAGACTGACAGAGGAGACGTACACTGTACACTGTTCTATTATGATTAGAACCAAGGTTGTGATTGGTTGATTTAAACTGCAACTTTGAATGTGTTTGGTCGATGCACACTACAACTTTGAATGTGATTGGCTTATTGAACTGTCCGATAACAACTTGGCAAGTGAATAAGTGGAAAATAAGAGTTTTTTAAACTAATCACAATCGAGAAAATTATTATTTTCATGATTAGTGTTGTTATCGCTTAAACAGGACTGAAAATAACAATGAAATTTCCCATCTCGATTTTCATCGTTTTTGCCGAAAAGCATCCAAACATATCGACATTCCTAACCTTGCAGTATGCCAGTTAGACCAAGTTAACACCTAAGCCTACCACGAGTCTCCAAGGAAATACTCTGCTTGTAAGGAAATATCACTTTAAAAAAGTATAACCAACAATCAGTCATAGAAAATAGGCTTGCTAATACGGAAAAATTGTGTTACATGTGATTTTATTAGGTTAATAAGGGTAATTTCGATGGTATTGTTCACCCTAGCATATAGTAAGATTTAGAACTGACTGCAATAAATGAAATATCCGTACGGAAGATTGAGAGTTACCTATTAGATTAAGCCCCCCGGAAATCCCTTCATAATGAAAGTATTAACTGTAGGAGAGTACTGCCTAACCCTTCAACAAAACACTATACTTAAGGTTAAGAATAATATACAATTGTTTCAATATTCAGAGGGGATTTTCTCGGTCCAGGAAAGAACTGTAACTTAAACACGTGCTCACAACACACACCTGATCACGCTCTTTCTAACGAGCTATAAATTATCAGGGAGTTCCCCTTTTTCGCAGAAAAATGAACACATGAATAATGAAACAATGAAAATTGGTTAATGAGGTTTTGGTTACTTGAAAGAACCATGAGCAAAACCGTGTTTTCAAACTCATTAACAAAATTCTATTGTTTCAATATTCAGAGGAGATTTTCTCGGCCCATGACAGAGATGTAACTTTGACACTTACACACAATATACACTTAATCTCGCTCTTTGTAACAAGCCGTTAATTGTCGTTGAATTCTTTTTTTTCGCAAAGATATAATCGTACGAATATTGAAACAAAAGAAATTGGTTAATGAGCTTTTGGAACCCTGGAAGAACCACGAGCTAAACCGATTTTTCAAACTCATTAACAAAATTCTATTATTTCAATATTCAAAGGGGATTTTCTCGGTTCATACCAGGGCTTTAACTTTAAAACTTGCACACAAGCCACAGCTGATCAAGCTCCTTCTAAAGAATTGAAACTTCTTTCACGAATTTCTCTTTTTCGCAAAGATATAAAGGCATGAATATTTTAACAATAGAAATTGGTTAATGAGCTTTTGGTTACTTGGAAGAACCACGAGAAAAACTGAGTTTTCAGACTCATTAACAAAATTCTATTGTTTCAATATTCAGAGGGAATTTTCTCAGACTACAAATGAGCTATAAGTTTGACTTTTGTACTCAATGTACAAATAATCAAGCTCTTTCTAACGAATTTCATCTGTTCCCGGAATCCTTCCTTTTCATTGAAATTTAAATGCACGAATAGAGAAACAATAGAAATTGATTAATGAGCTTTTGGTAACTTGGAAGAACCACGGGAAAAAACGAGTTTTCAAACTCATTAACCAAATTATATTGTTTCGATATTCAGAGGGGATTTTCTCAGGCCACATAAGAGCTCATACTTTTATACTTACACAAAACACAGCTAATTGCACTCTTTTTAACGAGCTATATTATGTTCAGGAATTCCTCTTTTTCACAGAGATATAAAGGCATGAATGTTAAAACAATAGAAATTGGTTAATGAGCTTTTGGTACCTTGGAAGAACCACAAGCAAAACTGTGTTTTCAAACTCATTAACAAAATTTTATTGTTTCAATATTCAGAAGGGAATTTTTCGGCACACAAGAGAGTTGTAACTTTGTCACTACACAAAATACACACCGAATCAAGCTCTTTCTGATGAATTAAAAGTTTTCCCGGAATTTCCTTTTTTTCACCGAGATGTAAATGCATGAATAATAAAACAATAGGAATTGGTTAATGAGCTTTTGGCACTTTGGAAGAACCACGAGAAAAACCGAGCTTTCACACTCATTAACAAAATTCTATTATTTCAATATTCAAAGAGGGTTTTCTCGGTTGATAAAAGGGCTTTCATATTGAAACTTACACACAAGCCACAGCTAATCACGCTCCTTCTATAAAATTGAAACTTTTCTCGGAATTCCTCTTTTTCACCAAGACATAAACACATGAATATTTAAACAATAGAAATTGGTTAATGAGCCTTTTGGTTACTTGGAAGAACCTCGAGAAAAACTGAGTTTTCAAACTCGTTAACAAAATTCTATTGTTTCAATATTCAGAAGAAATTTTTCTGCCCACAAGAGAGATCATCCTTTGACACTTACAAACAATACACAGCTAATTACGCTCTTTCTGACGAATTTACACTTTTCCCGAAATTCCTTTTTTTATTCACTGAGATGTAAATGCACGAATATTAAAACAATAGGAATTGGTTAATGAGCTTTTGGCAACTTGGAAGAACCACGGGCTAAACCGAGTTTTCAAACTCATTAACAAAATTCTATTATTTCAATATTCAAAGGGAATTTTCTCGCTCCATGAAAGGACTGTAACTTTGAAACTTGCACACAAGCCAGAGCTAATCGAGCTCCTTCTAAAAAATTGAAAATT